TTTTTTAAAAAACTATTAGTTATAATATTAATACAATTATTTATAGGTAAATTTTTATTAAATAAAAGAAGTAAATTATTTCAATGTAAACAAAATGAAGAAAAACGAGTTTTTATCAAATCTTTTGGTTTAGATAATATAAAATTTATAGTTTATTTTATCATAAATATAATTTTACTAAAAGCAATAAATAAATAGAATTTATAACTCCAATAATATAGATTTTTTTGGTTTTTATCCTAATTTTACCCGACCAAAAATTTTTTGTTGTTTTTTTACAAGCATTGAAACTATTTGGAAGCCATCAATTTATTATTAGGAAATAATTCGTACCTCCATGAAGAATAGTTTGGAACACAAAAACGAACTGTTTTAATCGACGTAGATGCCGAGTTTTCAGTATTTTCGGAGACATTTTCACAATTGTGTCAATACGTGTTTTTTTGCCATTTTAGCCTAAAAACAGACTCAGTCATTTTTTGTATAAGCAAAAACATGTTTTATTGACTAGAAAAGTAACTCCAAAATAGAAATTCCAGTTTCCGATAATAGCGGGCCGTTATTCAATATTTCAATGTAAAGTGTAAGTTGAGAATAATCAATGACAGCCAACCGATATTTGCCGTGGCCTGTGGTTGTAGAAGGTTAATTTTTACTCCACAAGATTATTTGGAAAAAGAACCATATTTTTTAATTATTTTCAATAATAAAATATAGTATATCAGAGTCAGTTAAATAATATTTATAGTAATTTCCTCGGTATTTCAAACTATGTTATTACTTCCATTGTGATTATCCCGATAATACACACAAAATAACCGGGTTTTTGTCGAATCTCAATATTAATATAACCAAATAATCCAAATTGCATACCACGACTGTTTTTTATTGCTATTAATACATTTCAATATGGGGGTTAGAACTAAATATTAAATTTTCCTCATTATTAGGAAAGCAACAAATTATCTGAGACATTTCCCGTTTATTTGACTGGTTTGGACTAATTATCAGAAAGTGTACGTCTACAAAACAAAACTGTGTTATTGGGCAGAACTCAGTATACGGAATAGCCCGCTTTTTGGCGTCTTTTTAAGCTACAATTTGTAAACTGTCGTGTGTTTCTTTGTACTTTAATATACTTCAGAGTTACTGCCTTATACCACTGCATTTTATTTAATAAACAAAAAGCTTCAAATATATGTAAAATAAGGTTTGTAATGCCACAATTTACACATTTAATCAGACAAACTGAAATTTGTGCGAAAATCATGGCCACATACGGAGCACCGGGTTTGCGTTTGCTTGTCAAACGACAGGACCAGTAAAGTCATCACCGGCAAGTCGAAATATAAATAGGTTGTTACAAAAACCACCCGACCAAAAATCCACAGTCGTCGGTTAAAATACGCCATAAAAATAGGTGCTGATAACTAAAGAAAGGTTTCTTCACTGTTCGGCTTGCCTTGAATAATTCGGCAAATACAACCCTTGGGAGTCACTTGCCGTTATTGACGTTCAAAACATCCGCAGAGTTTACCAGCCAACAAGAGGTGCCCAGCACATTAATTTGCAGCAAGTCCAATACCCCAAAAATTTCTTCTTCAATTTATGCTGGAAAAAAAACTGCCAATTCAAAACACATGGAATTCGAGGTGCTAAATACCATCAGCACAATCGCGAAAAAGTCACCGAAGCTTTACAAGGATATAAGAAACTACCAAGTGTATCAACAGGCAGTTCTTTTGGCTCTACTCAACCAACACGCCGAAATCGTCCTTTCGCCACAGAAGAAGAAATCGAACGTCACCCTCCCATTCTTCACTGTGAAGTCCGTGATATTCAACCAGACCGATCGAGTCGAATTGACTCATTTTGTTGAGAAGAGATGCAAGAAGCAAATGGAAAACGACGTTGCCAACGGGATCTCTTCGAAGACTGCGCTAAGGAGATACAAAACGAATCGAGTTGCGGAGAACTTACACATGGTTTTGGACTTACTCTTTGAGTTCGACTACCTCTTTGTGATAAAGACAACACATGGGAAGAATGGCGCAAACAAATTGGACACAGTCACTTCATGCATGTTGCCCAATAAAGTTTGGATGACTCAAGAACAAATCGTTTCCGTTGGGATGGAAATCAATAGTAATCTGTCGAAGATTTTATCGCAAACAGAGTCGATTTCACTGCCCAAAAACTCACCAATTCTTTGCCAATTCTTACAAGAATAACATTGTATTTTATACCCATCGAACAATTCCTTATGAATTAATTCGAATCTTATTTAATTTGGTTTGTATTGAAAACAACAGAAAAGTCATTAGTGTTTGTTATTGTCAATTTTTAATGCTGTTGATGTGTTTGAATCACATCACAAAGCATAAGTAAAAATTAGAAAGCTTTTTTGTAACAGACTTTCCAAAAAGCTTTTTTGAATACAAAAGACTTTTCTCAAATTAAATTCGATTTTTCTCGATTACAAAAAACACTAAAGATTTGATATCCACACCCATGCACATAAGTTGCATTTATTATTTTTTTGAACTAAAACATTTTTTTTTCTTTATTCAATTGTGTTATTCATTTTTTTGTTTTTTTTTGTTTATTAATTTAATTTTAATATAATTTATTAAATAAAAATTATAAATAAAAAACATATTTCAATGGTATTTTGTTATTCCTGTTTATTATGAATTGGTAATGGAAGATTTAAATGTTCTGATATGTTTTTAACCATTAACTCAAACACAAATTCAATCAAATTGGTTTGTGAACTCTTTATTAATTTCATTAATATATAAATTATATCAATCAACAAATAAATATAAACATAAAAAAATAAATTCGAAAAATATGTTTGTACAACGTTACTGTGAAAAGCTTGGTTCTGTTATTTTTTTGTGATAAAACACTTTTTTGTATTTGTAATTTAAGCCCATCATTGCATTTTTTATTTTTGTAAATAAATGGTATTATTAAGGTGGGTATTTAAAAAAAATTAAATAAGATAATAATGTGAACAAATAAAGTTGAGTGGTATAATTTTTTGAATAATTTGTTATGACAATTTGAGTTCATTTTATATCCATACTTTTAAAAAGCAAACTGCAGTTCATTATATTATAAGTACTCATGGAAATAACTTTTACTTGAATAAAGAACTGCGACACAAAGTTCAGGTTTATAAAACTTATTGTTAATTTTATTTTTGAATTAACAAGTTATTTTTAATTTCTTCAATAAAAAACTAAGTTGTTTGTTGTTAAATTCTTTTATTGTGTTTATCAATTAAAACAACAATAGGTTCACCTAAAAATTGTTAAAGACAACAGCTTTCTTCCTTCTTGTTGCACAAGTTCCTACACATAAAGAATATAATAACTAAGCAACTTAAAAATATAGAACCCCAAAAAGAATAATACTTTGGTGTTGAAATGCAAATAGAAAAAATTATACAAATCAACCAGATTGATTTAATAAAATAAAATCTATTTTTGTTAGAGCAGGCGGGTCATAAAAACAGTTGGATCAATTCTGAACAATAACAAATAATATGAAAAGAGTCTGTGTCAAAAAATTGGTTCTCATTGGTTTTAATTTATGACAATTTTATTAATAGTTAATGGTTTTCAATTGGCGAAATTGAGTATAGTAAATTATAGTTGTTTTTTTCAAGTATAGTTTTTTGTTATATTTTTAGAATTAAATTAAATAAAAAACAGACTTTCTTTTTGTTTATATATTTATAGTTTAATAATTATAAACCAAAATACCGATATTTTTATTATTATTTACTCATTAAAATAGTTGGAATCAATAATTGATTATTTATATAAATTTATTATTATAATTACCATCGATACAGTATTTGGATCATCTTGTTATGTTGTCTATTCGTGGTGCTTTTAAAGTGTTCCAATTGCAGTTAAACGAAAACATTAAATTTTCAAAGAATTGGCAATAAAAATAGGACCGAAAAACTGTATGTGAACCAAAGACAATTAAACAATTGACATTAAAAATTGTGCGTATGAAGTGCGTAAAGACACGTGCGTATATCCGCGTTGTTAAAAACGGGATTTGAGTTGGTTGATGCGAATGGTGATTGCCTTATCCTTAGTGTTAAGGCATTGGCAGATGGATCTATTGACCCGTTCTCCCTCCTTTAGTATAGCGTCGAAGCCATAGTAATAATTTTGCTTTGAAATTGACTTGATCAACTCGAGCTTTCTTGTCTCAGCCTTTCCTTTCATTGGGTTTGACTCGAATATATATCCATATTCGATGAGGCAATCCATCAAAAGGTGCAGCTCTTCTATTTTCTTATTATTCTGATAACGTCTCCAAGCAGTCTTTTGCGTGACACCCTCACTCATGTCTTGTTCCATCTGTTCAACACATCGGAACTTCAGAAACTCGTCCATTAAAATCCGATCGCCATTTCCAAAATCAAGACTTACAATCCTCATGAATTGCTGTGTTACAGTACTCTTCTTGGCGGGTTGAGCGATCGTAATCTCGCAATACCTGTTTAATAATCCAATCAGAATCGACTGCTGCATCGTTTGCGCATTGCGAAAGTCGCGCGAAGCCTTCAAGACGGGGATCTTGCGGTCCAATTTCTTTGGTTTCTCCGAGACACAGAAGTCCATTATTTATTTGTTTTTTTCTCCAGTTTATATATTTATATAGGGTATTGTAATTTCTATTTTTGCTCGGCTTTTCTCTTGGTCTTTTTCCGCTCCGTTTTTTTTAAACTGTATCACTTCCCGAAAAGATTCAACTGATATAAACTAGAATAGGTCTGTTGTTCAGTAAATAAAATTATGCCGGTCTAATTTTACGCGCTCAACTATTTTTGGTCCTTTCGAACTCGTTCAGAAATTTCTTTGCTGTTTTTCCGAAGAATGTTTGCTGGTGTTAAAAAATAGCTTTTGTCGTGCATTAGAATAAAGCACTTTTATGATATAATTGTTGCCATTCTTTCATTACAATGTTTTCACGTTGATTAACTTTCTAATAAAGTAATATTATTTCAATTAAAAAAACACCAAATTAATAAAACAATTAAAAAAATGGTAAAAAAAGAATATAATTCAGGTGTGACGAAAAAACGTAGCAAATAAAGCGAACTTGTAATAATTGTCAAGACTGAGTCAACCATTTTTGGCTAGTGGAGTTTCAGTACCCCATTCCACTTTTGGCTTTCCGGGCTCAGCTCACGTCCCAACAAGAACTGGAGTTTTGTTCATTGTTTTTTGCAATGAAAATAATAAAGTGCGCGCCTGGAGACGTTTTTCCAACAAATGCCATACTTGCGCAATTTTTTCTTTTTCCAACCATTCCTGTTTTAAAACGTTTCATTTCTACAAAAAAACAAGTGAAATCGATATCGTGCGTTTATTAACGCAAAAAGTACTCATAATGACCATAGCTCGAAAGAACCAAAATAAGGCGCACAGAAAAAACTATAAATAATAATATTCAAACTAGAGAATAATAGCATTTTTATTTTGTTTTTAGATGGGAGCATTTATTCGTTCGACAACATCAGCGTTTGAAAAAATAAATGCAATTGCATGAAAACATGAGCCCAGTTTTAAAAACAAATTGAAAAACTTTATAAAATATTTTAAAATATGAATTTGGATTACTAAGAACCCGTTTTTTGAGAGAGTTTTAAGTAAACAATCGACTCAATTGGTATAACAACTTTTCAAATTATATGATAATACACAGTTTGAAATGTAAAGTTTTGGATTATTGCCTGCAATATTCCAATTGAATGAACGGTAATTCCCACATTTTTAATAATGTGTTTATTATTGCCTTCCCGTATTGTGGCGATTTCTTTTCGCAAATGGATAATTGGAATGCTTCCAGTAGGGTTGGAAAAGTTTTCAGAAATAAATGCTCTATTTTTATTCACTCGTTGTAATGGCAAGTTTGTGTTTTGGTAAAATAAATGACAAGACAAAGATAAAAGAAGACTTTAATAAGAACTTTTCTTATTGTTGATAAAAAAAATCGGAATTGCCTCTATTATAACCTTATTGATGCAATTTGAAGTTTTTCGCTGTTTGTATAATTCTGAGATTACCCCACCAGACGAAAACCGGGCGTGGCACTTAAACCGGCAGTTATTCAAAAAGCCTGAAGTTAATGGTGGTTGTGAATTAAAAGTGTTTAAACCAGACTACATACAAGAAATACACCGAGAAAAGCATTGCCAAATGACTTTGTTTGAAATGCTTTCGAGAAATTAAGTTCTGATTGTTCAGAACAATAATCAACTGAATTTATTTTGTTTCATTGTCTTGGTCAAATACTAAAGTACTCTTTTACTTCTTTATGGTCATGATGAAACGAAGAAGATGAACATTCATTTTTATTACTATTTACGATGGTTCAGTCTAACATATAACCAAGGATAATTTATAAAGTAATAAACAAATTTGAAATATGATAAAATAACACCAAAAATAACAACTCAAACAAATGAATAAAGCACTCAAAATTGCTAAAAAAAATTCATGTTTTGAACATGAATTTTTTTTGGTGCAATAAAAAACACTTAATTTATTGAGAAATAAAAGTGACTTACTCATACACACTCCCGCCAATAAACTCCCTTAACAACGAAGTTTTAGCAACCATATGGTCGTCCATAGGCATAAAGAATTGCAGTGTTTTTAAAAGATCACAAGCTAAGTTATAATTTGGGTCATCCACGTGGACTGTTTTTAAGAGAGGTAATACATAAGTGTAAAGAGCGGATGGTTCATAATCCATCGCAGAGTTCCAAATTGTGTCTGCCTTGTCGACAAAAGGGAAAATATACTTCTCTTCTCCCACTGCAACACTCCTCCATTTTTCAAATGTCTTTGACGCAGTGTTATTTCTTGTCAAATAATCTCTGATGATTCTTCTATAGAATCTGAAGACTTGGTTTCCAATGAAGTTGTATTCATCGACATTTAGTTGTGTCATGGGAGCAATGAAGATGAAGTACTTCTGCTTTCTTGGAATAGCAGCTGTCAAGTTTTCATCAATACCATGGAGCCCTTCCATCACAACAACACCATTTTTAGGCAACTTTAAGTAGTTGGTGGTATCATATGAGTATTTTCCTTTAACAAAATCGAACAACACGGGGTGTATCGCCTCTCCTCTAAAAAGTTTCTGCAAATCCCCATTGAGTGCGTCTAACCTGATACACTCAAGACACTCAAAATCGTAATTTCCATCTTTGTCAACAGGGGAGTCTTCCCTATTTTTGAAGTAGTTGTCGGTGCTCAGCACAACAGTGGTTATTCCTTTTAACTTCAATTGCGCTCCAAGCTTCTTAGAGAATGTTGTTTTACCTGAAGCACTTGGTCCAGCGATACTCACCAACTTGACCTCCCCACTTTTCACTCTGACGGAGATCTTTTCTGCAATTTGGGAAATTTCCAAGTCCTGTCTGTTCTCCATCATCAAGACTGTTTCGGTTGGACCATTCAAAATGCTTTTATTGATATCACCGACACACTCAATCCCAATTTGCTTTGCAACTTCATTCGAATCAGCATAACTCTGTGAAATCAGACGAAACTCACTGCTCTCGGAAACACTCGGAATTGGTTTGTTTGGTAATGGGAAGATCAGTAATAGGCCGTCTTTCTTTGCTGAAAGTCTCAAGTCAAAGTGGTCTCCAATATCTCCAGTCGACGTCAAAAGCGGTCTGAAAAACAACGTAAGAAAGCCGTCGCAGCAACTGCAATGGACTTTGTCTTCATTGATACTTTCTAACAAAGAAAGAGAATAAGGTCTATTGGTCTCTTTGAAGTAGTGGATTGCTTCCGAATGCGAAAGAACTTCGTGAGTCAACGGAACGTCATTTTTAATCAACTGTGTCATTTGTGATTTGATGTTGTCGCACTCCTCTTGTGTGAATTCTTCTTCGTTGTACTTTTTGATCTTATACCCATTAGTGACATGATGGTCAAAAACAATGCCAATCTCTGAACCAAAGACTTTGAAAGCTGCAGATGCTGTTATGACCACCAACGAACGCCTGAAAACAGAAAGACCCTCTACACTGTCAAACCAAACAGGTGTGACATTTGCAATACCTATTTTTAAAATTTCATTTTTTGCATGCACTCTGCCATTCACCATAACAGCAATAAGTAAGTCGGATTTTTTAAAAGTAGGATGGTCAAATAGTTGGCTCAGCACCAATGGGCGTTGAAAAAACTCAACAGACCCATCACTGAAAGTCACTTGCGTCTTTTTGAAATCAAGATGTGGAATACTCGAAGCACTAACAACTTGTGTTTGTGCTAAAACGGGTGAAGTAAAAGTAGACATGTATTTTTATTATTAAGATGATTCGTTTTTTGTATTCGAAAAATTTGATGAAAACTAACGCCAAAGTATTTCATTCGGAATTTATAATTTCAACTGTTGTTTATGTAAAAAAATTGTAATGCCAAGTTCAAACTTTAAACAAGTTAAAATTAATTTTTATTATTTTACAAACAACAAATAATACAAGAAAAATCAAATAAAAAAGGATAATTATATAGTTATTATTATTATTATATTTATTAAATACAAAATAAAAAAAAATAAAGAAAAACATTATTGTTTTTATTCTTTAACAAATTTAATTTATTATTTGATTTTTTTTGTAAAAAAGAAAAACAATAATTATTAATAAATAGGCAAAATAATTTGTTTTTATTATGATAACAATATTAAAAACAATAATATATTGTAAATTTAAACTACAAACTAAATTTTGTAGTTTGGAACTACTTTGAGTTGGAAAAATATTGTAAATTTGGTTTTCAGTTATGATGTTGTAACCATAAAATTAATTCCTTTTATTATTTCTATACAAGACCTCATAATAATTTTCATAGTTATTCAAACTATATTATAATAAATACTTATTGTTTCCGTTTTTTATTGAAAGTCAAAACAAAACTAAATTGTTTATAAAAAAAATGTATTTAATATCTTTATTATCAAAACCACTTTTGTTTTTAACCATTTATTTTAAAGCTTTACTTTTAAACACAATATAAAACAATACCACATTTTAATAATAAAAATAGTATTTTACAATAGTAGTTTAATAACAAAAAAAATGTTATTATTAAAAAAGTATTTTAAAAATAAAATATATCAAAATAGTCAAAATGCCACTTCTGTTTCATAAATGCTGAAACTCAGCAAAAATAATTGAAAGAAATCGGTGTCAATTTGTACAAAAAAATTGAATTTTTTGTTTCCAAAACAGAAGAAAGTACAAACAAAGTCAATTGTAACATCAATAGGATTGTATAAACCAAAAAATAAGTAAACATAACTATTACATTACAAAAGAATTGCAGTCATGATTTCCGTATCTCCGACGTCGATTTTGAACGCGTCGTTTGCAGAGTGCAATTTAACTCTATCCATCATTATTTTTTGGACTTTTGTGCCCTTTGCTTTGATTGCCTTTTTGTCGTACACAAACCCATCAAATGCAATAGTATTAATGACTCTTCGATCCTGAAGAGTCGTGTGTTTGTCGTCTTTGCACTGTAGAGAATAAACGGGGTCGCCTTTAATAAAGTCCATAAGGACATGTAAGTGTTCCATAATTCGGTACGACTCAAGACGTCTTCTAATGATCTTCTCGTTGATATTTTTACGCTCATCACTTTCGATGAGTTTCTTAATTCTATTTTCTGTGAGCTTTTTGACGTCTATAAAGTCTTTTTCATTGGTTAAAGTGACTGCTTTAAATATAGTGAGTGACTTCGTTGGGAGTTTAGACGGTTTCTCGAAGGTGATGTTGTACTTCAGAGAAAGCAGTGCTATTAAGAAACTGACTTGCTGTGATTGCCAATTACGAGACTTAGTAAATTGGTCCTTCTTCGAGTTCACTTGTGATTTCTGGACTCCGTTTGTAGATGACATGCCTGAAGGATTGTCTGATGAGTGCATAAATACGAGATGGAAGTTTGTGTATTCCATTGGGCATTTGTTATTCTCTTGTTTTTCTCTTTGCCTCTCTTTGTTTTTGTTGTGCAAACTACTATATATTATAATTGAGTTTACTATATTAATAATATAGTTATAGTGACCAAAAAGGAATTATAAAGTGCTGGAATTGTGGTATAACATTTCTTCTTGGTTTGTAATGGTATTGTTGGCTGACTTTGTACAAAACTTGGTTTTATGTGTGGGTTGTTTCCTGTTTTATAATAAAAAGAAATTTTTTTAAAATGGAAAATGGCCAACACACCAGACTTTAACTATAATAATTGATATTTTAAAACGGTAGAAGACATAAAAGATAACGGAAATCAAGGGTACTGTGTTTGACAAGTTTTCTTTCGACTTTCCAAATTCTGTTCGATACAAAAAATTCAACATGGTATGATTTCTCCCAAAATAAATTAATAATGTATAGTCTTTTTAATTATAAATAATAATAATAGTATTTAAAAACAGGCAGGTTATAAAAATAATGAAACGTAAGTTCGGCAAAATATTTATATGTTTCCCGGTTTGTTGGCAATATCACTTGCATTTTCGGGTTTCTTTATAGTACAATGTTTAAAGGTACTTATTTAAAAAAGCGAATAATTGAAAACATTGGTTTTTTTGCCTAATGGACGTTTTATTAAGCTAAATATATCGATGATTTTATAAAATAGAACTAAAATTAACACATAAAAACGTGATTAAGTTTCGGAATTGAAATACCAATTATTCTGGTCATATTAACGAATAAACATGAATAATTTCATGGTAAAATTTAAATAAATCTTGTTTCTTATATATTTGGTCATGTTTATCATGTTATTTTCATGTTTCTGGTAAATTTGGTATTGAATTTTTTATAAATACCATGACTTTAAAACAGTAATTATTTTCTTTAAATGTTTTTCCATAATTATAGTCAAAACATGTATTCGATATTATTAATTCGTGTTTAACACTTAAAAACAATAAAAACGCTTTAAGTAATATGATTATTAATAATACAAAGCATGTTTTTGCATTATTCAGTCTTATACCACATAACAAAATAGCTATGAGTCCTGTGATTATAACAAAAAAACATTGACAAAAATTGAATAACAAATTTTATTTAAAAATTCGAAACAAAAATATAAGTTTTGAAATTAAAAAAAAAAACATAAAAATTATTAAGAACCACTTTATTATTAGAATAATATTTTATTAGTTTAAAATAAATAACCCCTTGCTTATCTATTTTTTTCTTCTTTTTTCAAAGCAAATATTATTAAAGTTTATGTAACGACCAGCCATTTCAAAGTTGTTATTTGATTCTTTGTTATGAAAAGGCAAAAAAGGAGTAGTATATGGTTGTTAAAAATTGGATTGTTTTTATTATTAATTATTATTAATATATTTTAACACTTAAAATAACGCCCTTGTTTTTTAATTGACCTGTTATTACTGGGATATTAATTCAATTTTTGATGATTTTCCTTTTTTTTGATTGTGTAATGATATACACACAATATAAATTTAAAAAACTGGATATTTATCTAATAAATTCGAGATTTTACCAATTTTCGACCATTTGATTTTTGTTCATCATTATCTTACTATATAATATTTTTAAATTATTACTAAAATATTAAATCAATAACATGGTTAATATAATATAAAAAAAACTATACTTATAATTCAAATTTTTTTTTATTTAAGTAAAAACCTTTACTTCAATAAAATAATAAGTAACAATTATAAATATGGTTTTGCTGCATATTATAAATTAAAAGAAATTATACTATAAATTAAATTATTATTTGATTATAATCAAAGTGTGTATATTTTTAACATATGTCCTATTATACAATTATAGTTTAGTCTTGTTCTAATGATAAGATAATAAGTTATTATTATTATTATTAATAACTAAATAAAAAAATAAAACATCATCATAGAGTTAATGTTGATCTGTATTTATTAAATATTAACAGCTCATTAAATATATAGATAAAGATATATCGCATAACAAATACTTTTTAATTTTTTTTTCTTTTTTTCAATTCAACATTACAAAAATACTTCGGTGTTATTTGAGTTTTCTTTAACTTGTTATATTTAAGTTTCTTGTTTTTGAGTTCATTTTTTTGGTTCTTATCTTTCAAAATCTCAAACTAATAAATAAATTCGTCAAATTACTGAGAAAATTCTTTTCGAAAATAAACAAAAAAGAAAAATTGGAAATAATTCCAAAAGTACTTCAACTAATTTATTTTAAATAGTAGAAAAGTACTTTAGATAAATTTTAAAAAATTTCTTATTGACTCACGAAATATCTAAGCTAACCAAAGAACTAAATAACTATGCTCCAATTGTTTTGTTTGGTCGCTGTTTCACAGGCAATGTACCCGGTTGTGTATGAAATTTCAACTCGCCCATGGCTCTATGAGTTGAGCCAAAAATATAGCAGAGACATCACCACCATTCGACAAATCCCTCTCGTTGAGTTCGACTTGCTAAAAACAAAAGGCATCGACTATGTGTGGATGATGGGGGTGTGGCAGTTGGGAAATTATGGACTCGAAATCGACAAGAAGGTAAACTACTCTTATGTCCTTCCTGATTACACAGAAGATGATATTATTGGTTCTCCATACGCGATTACCCAATATGTATGTAATAAGGAAATTGGAATCGACGAAGATCTAATTTGGCTCAAAACACAGTTGCACGCTAGGGGGCTTAAACTGATGTTAGACTTTGTTCCAAATCATAGCGCTTGCGACGCCCCGACGGTTTCGAGCAACCCGGAGTTATACGTTAGAGCCAAGAGAGCTGCAAATTACGACCCAAAGTATTACTTACCAAATGGTGTTGCTCATGGAAGGTTTGTTTTGGCTTGTCAATTTAGTTTATTTTTCTTTCATGTGGCGTTGTCATCATGCCCTGACGTTTTAGCGACCCTTATTTCGATCCGTGGGGAGACACCGCACAATGGAATTACTTTGAACAGAAAACAAGAGACTTTATGAAAGAAAATATGATGAAAGTCGCTTCCATAGCCGATGGTATTCGATGTGACATGGCGCACCTCGATCTGAACGAAGTGTTTTACTCGACCTGGAAAGACGAGATGGACGCATGGGGATACAAAATGCCGTCAACCGAGTTCTGGGCAGACACCATCACCGCCGTGAAGAAGCTGTACCCAAAAATTGTTTTAATGGCGGAAGTCTACGAAGACTACCAAATGGCAAAATTAAAAGAATGTGGGTTCGACTATTACTATGACAAGGCATTCTTGGACAAAGTTGAGCAAAGTGTCACCGAAGTAAATGAGTATATTGCACAACACGATATCGAATTTTTCAACAACGCCGCACATTTTGTCGAAAATCACGACGAAAATAGAGCAGTTTACAACATGAAAACTGTTAAACGTGCTGATGCGGCGGCCGCATTGGCAACAACCCTTCCGGGTCTCATTTTCTTTAATCATGGCCAATTCGACGGTCTTGAAAACAAGTTGGATGTCCATTTGCGACGTTCGTATGCTGAGGATGTGTCCCCAGACGCCCAAAACTTCTACACAGTTTTCACTAACATATTAAAAAACGACGCTTTCAGAACCAAAAATTTCGAAATTGTACCAAACCTCGCTGGTGAGAATCCTGAACAGTTCTCTGTCTGGACCCGCACCGCGACCGAGAAATTCCTTGTTGTTATTAACTACTCAGAGAAAGAGGGGTCTCTCAACATACCGATGTTGAATGTTACTCCACAAGAAGGTCAGACCACAATCACATTCACCGACTTAATGACTAACTCGGACCCAATCACGATTACCCAGGAAACTCTTCAAACTACCGGCCTTGGTGTGCAGAGCGCTCCCTACCAAGTCAAGATCTTCAAATATCTCTAATTTTCCACTCTTTTGAATACTTTCGTTCCACTTTGGTTGTCAATTAATCACTAAAAAATCAATAAACAAATCTCGAAAGGAATAACTCAACATTAACTAGACTTCTGTAAATTAGACATTTTATTTCGAATCCACCAAGAGGAGAAGTGTTGTGACATGACGAACTCACTATACCAAGTTCTCAGTGATCCGCTTGGGATCGTATTTGGGAACTTTTCTTGGAATTCCTTAAAAGTGAGTGGTCCGTTGATTTTACAAAACAGTGTGATTTTTCCAATGATTTTGTCGTAGAATCTTTCCTTCATAATTTTCATGACTTCCATTCCGAACTTCTCACCCTTTCCCGATTTATTGATGGCGACCATTCGTTCCTCGTAACTGCTCATTCTGAGAATCTCCACAATCTCCCGATCGCACAGATTTTTGAGTTCCATAAATACATCCTCGAAGTATGGGATAGGAAGAGGAGTTTTCTCGTTATTTAAGAAGATCTTATCTATATTATCCATTAGTCCCAGTGGCTCGACGGGTGCTACAAATGCGGAGATGTTGACTGGTTCTGTCGGCATTTCCGTTCCAAAGATCGACGGTAATGGGGATTCGAGGAACTCGTAGAGGTGTGATGGGATATAAGGGATGATGACGCCTTCCCACTCGAACGGCCCCAAGAGTGGAATTAGCGATAAAGCGCAGTCAGTGACCAGAGGGATATTTCGACCGATTAAGAAGACGGATATATTCAGAAGGAGTGAAGACACCATAGCTAAGATCCCTGCGATCTTAGTGACGGAGAATAATCTGATGATCGCGTGTTTTGAGAGTAAGTCGAGTGTTGGTTGGTCTGTGTGTAAGTTCTTTAAACTATCCAAGAGTGGATAGAGGCGTGTTGCTGTGCTTTGGTATTTGAATTGGGGGATTAAAGGTATAGTCTTCAAATAGAACTGCTTGATCCACTGCTCCTTAAAGCAGAAATCAGTCATGAACAGATCTTGAATAATCGGTGTCAAGAGTGATATGTCTGGTGATCGGGTTGTTATACAGTAGACTCGTACGGTCTCTAACTGTTGTGTTGAGTATATGGATGTCATTGAAGTCTCTTGAATTAAATCGGAAGGGTATTGTAAGAGTTCAAACCGAGTGAAACAGACACAAAAAACAGGGGACTCTTCATTTGGAATGAACGTGATGTGAATGCCGACGGGGCTATTCAAAAGGGCGTTGAAATTCTCGACGGGGCGAACTATAACGCCACGAGGAACAATGAACTCCCCAATTTTGTCGTTGAGTGTGTTTTTTGGAGGATATGAAAAAAGAAGTTGCGCGGGAAAATTCTGTGAGCGGCGAAAAAAGTTGAATGACTTCTCAACTCGAAACTTGCCCGGTAGTCCCCAAATTGAAAAACTCTCAACGACAGAACCGTTCGCCGTTGCGATCGCACGTTGAATTGGACTGTGTTGTTCCATTGGTGTTATTTTACAGTTCCACACCAATTTTTTTGAGATGCTCCTTCAAATTTAACTGTTCATGTACCATTTAGAATAGTAAATTGTATTACAAATAAACTATATATAGTTACTTGTTTTGTCTTTGGATATAGTTCTGATACAAGTAAAAATAAACCATACATCTAGTAAAAGAGATAAAAAAGATAAAACGAGGAGCTTTTTAAAAAAATCCTGGTTTATTAAAAGTACATGAAAAAAATGATAATATACCCATCGAAAAGAGACCACAAAAGATGAGCAAAATCGGGAAATGCCAATAACAAAAAACCAAGAAATGAGAAAAATGTAAAAATAGCAAAGATAGAACAAACAAACAATTTACACGACAAATGGGGAGTGGACTGCTATTGTTTTTATCAATGATCTTGTGTATAGTGATCGGAGGGATACTTGCTGTTGTTGTTCTTGTAGTTTGCGTTTATAAGGCAGCGACGCCGAGAAGGAGATATAACGAAATCACGAACGTTTCATTCATCGCGCCAGAAATCCCATTTGGGCAAACGTTTCATAAGGTCGAAACACTGCTAGCGAAACCAATGGGAGAGACTTCGATATTCATCGACGTTCCACGACTTGCGACGAAGTTGATAGTTAAAGTTGAAGGGAAAACAGTGATAGAAGGCCCAGAGATCTTAAAGCGACATGACAAAGAACAATATTCGATTGAATTGACTCTGAAGGAAACGGTAAGCGAGTTAATACGAATCTTCGACGGTGCGGAGTTAAGTCGAAAGTTCTCCGAGAAGTTTGAAGAGACGTTTAAGTATATCACAACAAAGAGCGAAGGAGACTGTGCGATGTTTTTTAAACAATTGTGTTACTCTGTCTTCACAGAGGACGCGATGACACTCTTTGTGATGAAAACATTCACACAAGGACTCTTTGCGAGTGCCGTAGAATATATGATGCCGTTACGAACGAAACATAGATATCATGATGGATATTCGGGGTGGAATGTCCAAGTCGAAATTAATGGAGATCATGTCAGCGTGATTCATAAGAAGGGAGAAACATCATATAAAGCGGACGCATTTGATTTTGAATGGTGTTTAACGTATGGAATGTCTTTATCGAAGAAAAGAATCACTGATATGGAGCTCAAAATTATTAATACCCAATTCAGAAATTATTCGAATGATTTGCAACTCGACTTTTTGGCATATGTCGAAAAAATTAATAGAGAAGCACATTCAGAAGGCCTCAATTGAGAATACAAAACAAAAAGACCCAACAACCCGTTTCTTCCGTTTCGGCTAATCTTTGGGCTTTGTGATGGAGCTTCAAAGGCCAATTCGGAAAACATTGTTATAATTTAATTTTAATTTAATCTACTATTTGTTTGGCTTTTGTTGTGTTATTCGTGTATTTCAAAAGAAATACAAAGAGAATATTGAAGTTATAATTACACTTAATTCAAATCATATTATCTTTATTATTCGTTTGGGATAACTTTTTATTTTTAAAATAGATTATTTCCCGTTTTTGTGAAACTATTAATATCATAGTTAAATTAATTTAACATTGTAACTTATTTTATTAATTCAATTAAGTTACTTTTTTAAATTAAAAAAAAATAATAATTGTTTGGTTTGATTTTAATAAAGTAAATTCAAATCCAAATCCAAATTAAGAATTATAATAAATTATAATTATAATAATAAGCAATAAATGGTTTAGCAATGTTCCTCCCAAATTTCTTCATACGACGGGAAATTCCAGGTCTCCTTATCAACCAAGTTTTCCGCATGATCGACATAAGTGCGAATAGTTTTAGTTAAGGGGAACACAATTTTTTCACACAAAAGGAGTCTTCCTTCAAAAGCGATCTCGATCTTATCAATTTCATCATTGAGTCTTTGAGATTGTGCCAACATTTCATTTGCCGTGGCTGTTAAATCTCTTACAACTAATTTAAAAGCAGGCATCTCACATTTCACTGTCTCAATTTCCTTTGAAATTTTCGCAGCCATTTGTAATGTTTCTGGTGCAAACTTTCTTCTCACCAATTCACAAAGTAACTTAGCTTCTAATAAAATCGTTTCCACAAAATGTTCCTCATAAATGGCGACTCGCGCTGCAGTTTCTTGCTTTGACATCACATTCATGTTTTCAAAGACATCGATGTTACGCACTTGTAACATCTCACGAAGGACATCTGACGTGTTGTTGAGCGACTTAAAGCCTCGTTTAGTCATTTCGGCTTCATATTCTTCGGAGTAGCAATCGCCGTTATAAACTATTTTATTATGGTTCTTTAATGTATCTTTAATAACTCTTTCGATTGCTTCACGACCCAAGCTCCCACTCTTGTTCAACGCTTTGACTTGATTCATCATTTCATTCACCGCAGTAGCAAAAATGGTGTTAATAACAGTCATCGGCCATGCTGGATTTTGTGACGACCCCACCGCCCTGAACTCAAATCGATTTCCGATGAATGCGAATGGCGATGTTCGATTTCTGTCGCTTTGGTCTCTTGTGAAGCTTGGTAAGGTCTCTATCCCAAACGACACTAACAATGGTGAGCAATCTAATGCGGCTTCATCGCGTAACATATCGTCGATGCATCGTTCCAAACGTTCTCCAATAAACATCGAGACGAAACTCGGTGGTGCCTCGAAGCCACCGAGTCGATCGATATTTCCCGGCGTTAACGTAGCTGCGCGGACGAGGTCATAGTGGTCGTCCACTGCTTTTAATAACGCGGAAGTTAAGAAGAGAAAAGTGATACGTTCTGCTTCAGAAGACTTGAACGACATCAAATTTTGCCCGTCACAGAATAACGCCCAGTTCAAGTGTTTTCCACTCCCATTGACTCCTTTAAATGGTTTCTCATGGAATAACACCTTTAATCCATGCTTCTTGGCTATTGCTTCTAATTGCTCCATAAATATGGTGTTATGGTCTGAAGCAATACTTCCTTTCTCAAAGATGGGAGCGACTTCATATTGTGCTGGAGCGACTTCGTTGTGAATTGTGGTGATTGGAATACCTAATTCCCACATCGACTTTTTCACTTCACTTAAACAATCGACGATACGTTGTGGCATAACACCCCAATAATGATCTTTCATTTGTTGCGCTTTACTCGGTAGACGACCTACTAAAGTCTTTCCAGTCTCCATCAGATCCTCTCGCTTCTTCGCAATTTTCTCGTCGATCATAAACATCTCTTGCTCAAGGCCAACAGTCACAGAAACATGTTGCTCCGGCGTTTTCTTAGGCGTGTCGTACAACATCGCCATCATATCCAAAAAGTTCGAGACGGTCTCGTCGACGGCCTTCTCACTTCTTAAGAGTGGCGTTTTGGTATCCAAAGACAATCCAAAAATGGAGCAGAATACTGCGGGGATGTATAAAACACCACCAAATTCATCTTTAATGACAAAAACAGAGGAATTGTAATCCCAAGCAGAATACCCACGAGCTTGGGACGTGTTTCGAAGGCCTCCATTTGGGAATGAACTGCCATCAGGTTCTCCTTGAATCAATTGCTTTCCAGTGAACTCCGAGAGGAGTTGTGAGATGTGTTGTCTTGAGCATTGATGCTTCACTGATAGGAAAGAGTCATACTTCCGTGCGGTCGAGGATGATAGGGGTTGGAACCAATGAGTGAAACACGTCGCTCCTAACTCTTCGGCCCATTCTTTCATCCCAAACGCAATCACATCGGCTGTACTCGGATCTAATGTCCCTCCATTCTCAAATAACATTTGAAGCTTCAAATAAGCACTTCGAGGAAGTTTCTTTTCCATCATTTCATTAGTAAAGACGTATTTACTGTATGACGGGTCTTTATGTAAAAGTTCGGTGGTGGCCATTAATGAATGAACGAATGAATTTCAACGCCCTTTTATACAGAAGAATCTCTTTCTCAACGGAGATCAGAAAGTCGGGAAACATGATCTGGCATCTAGTTTCTTTGTAATTTGAATTAACTATATTAGTAATTTACATTTTAACTTGTTTTTCTATTTTGAAAAATTGTCAACTTATTAGTATAATTATTATTATAGTTATAAATATAATTACTATATTTTTATATTTCTAACTATTAATTATAATTTAAATTATTTATCTATTGATATAGTAATATTCCATTTATATAAACTATATTTAATACCATTTCGAAACCATTTGAAAAAATGTTGCAAACAAATAATAAAAATGGTTTTGATTTTGTTTGTGATGAAACTTCTAATTCATTTTTTATAAAGAAAATGATTTTGGTGTTTTTGTTATTGAACGTCGTGTGTTTGGCACAGTACGGCAATCCAACACTGATCGACGTGTTTTTGGAGGAAGGGAAAGAAGTAAAGGGAAAGACATATTTAAATAATGCGAAAAAACTTGTTAAGAATAAGGTGGAGATGGAAAAACTCATTGAAAAAGCAGCAGCGGCCGTTCGACACATGGCACGACCTTCTTTGAAAGGAGAAAGGAAATGATTTTCTATTGTGTTTAATTCTTGTATAACTTTTTTTATTATAAGTTATAGTTTCCATTCGAATTATTTTATAATATAAAATCTGTTATAATTTTTAGTAGCCTTTTCATTTTTTTTTATTATTTTTATTGATATAGTTACAATAATAATACAAATTACCATTTATTATAAAAAAATAAAAAAACAATGTTAAGTTTTAATTTGTTTAAATAATTGTGATTTTTACCCGAAATAATGCAAAAAACCAAAAAAGAAGCTGTTTTTTTCAGAAAGAGGAATTAAAAAAGCATGTCTAGACAATGGTTAATAATAATAAACTATTAACTCTATTAAGATGAATTAATGGTATAGTTTACTTCTCCGATTTAAAGTTACGTTGTATAAAAAAAGAAATCCAAAACTGTACTATTTTCAACAATATGACCGAAGACCAACTCTTGTATGAAGAATCACTGCAAAACATCCCATTTTCGCAATGGCTCCGACAGAAGCGGACGAATCTGATGTCACGGTTTTACAATTTTATACCGGACACATTAGATAACCCAACTCTATATCCCAAAGAATTTATTGCTGCGTGTGGACAAGTTTTTTTCCCACAAGAAGTTGAAATAAAAACGTCAAGTTTTTTGGACGTCGCGTTGACACACACTAAGGCATTCGACGAAATTATAAACCTCTTTTACTTTGTTTATAGAAATAACTTCCAACCATTGCCAAATACAACACTGACATCTGATAGTGGATGGGGTTGCACCATACGGTCAACTCAGATGTTAGTTGCAAATGCAATTGGGAAGCTTTTCACAAACGACTTTGACACTGGAGAAGTCACGGACAAAATGGTCATCAAATTTTTCTTGGACTTTTTTTCTGTTGAATGCCCGTTCTCCATCCACAACCTTTTCCTTACAAAGGCTATCCTTCAGGGAAACATCAACGGCAATTCCTTCTTGCCGCCGTCTGCTGTCGCCGCCGCATTTGTGTTTGTTCTTTCCGCCACACATTTGAGAAACTATAGATATTGTTTATTTTATTATTCATTTTATTTAATTTCTTGCGGCTTATTTTGGTTGTTCGGGATTGGAATTTTGACAACCAATAGTTAGAAATACTTTATACATTTATTGTATTACTATGATTTAACGACAAATTTAGTTCTTTTTATTATATCTGACCTATTTTCTACAGTACTCAATTCAATATCCCATTCTAATTATTATATTATATATGATAGATATAGAATTTGTTTTTTGGTAATGGTAATTTCAATGGTATACTAAAATTACTATATATATTTTATTTCTTTAACATTTGTCTTAACAGGCACAACGATGTATAATAGGACAACACATTTATCTTAATGCAAAAGCTTATATACTCAAGTCTAGAGAGATCAACAAGAAGCTTGCGAACCCCAAATTTGGCATGGAGATACTAACAACGACTTTTACTTTCCGTGTGTATACACAACCCACAATAGTATTAATACCTATAAGTATACCAGATTCGTTCAATGACAAGATAGCAGTGATCTTCTCGTTTTATCTCTTTTCGGGGATGGTTGGAGGGTCGGGGAGAAAGGCGTTTTACTTCTTTGGGATCCACCATGACCAATTACTCTTCTTAGACCCACACACGGTCAGAAATACGGTAATCAATTCGTGCTCATTTGATCCCCAAGAGTACCACCCAATCATTGGAGATGTTAAGGCACTGAGTTACTCACTACTCGACAGAAGTGCTGTGCTTGCTTTTGTCGTCACATCGCAAAGAGAGCTCGACGATTTAAAAGGGTTTGTACAGAACATGCTTGGGATTGATGACAAAGTCCTACGCGTAAAAAATGAAGACGTTGATGGCTTTGAGGTCATCAACTTTTGATTTGTAGACAAACGTTGCAATGATGAATAGGTCACTTTTTGAATATTTCTTTCACACTTGTTTTTAACGGAGTTTTATTCTTATTTTTAATGTGTAATTTTCTCAGTGGTTTTCAATTAGATTCCGCTATAAAGTAGATGTTTTGAACGAACGAAACGAAAGAGTTGGTTATAAAAGTGATGAAGCTTTTGCTACCAAAGCATTGAGACCGTCAATGTCTGCGCCTTTAATTCGATCAACGACATCGCCTTTATTGGAAAGGATAAATGTTGGCATTGCTGTGATTTCATAATTTTGTGCAATCTCTTCACCAGCCTCAACATCTACTTTCACAAACTTCACTTTGGGGTTTTTGTTTGCAAGGTCTTCAAAGACAGGAGCAATTGACTTGCAAGGACCACACCACGTAGCAAAGAAATCAAAGATGATGACATTAGTGTCAAGAATTCTTGATAAGTCTTCCACTGAATTAATATGAAGAACAGCCATTTTTTATTATTGAGTTCTTTTCATTTCGTTTTATCTTAAACAAACTTACCCAATAAAACAATTAAATGTGTAATTCACTCATTACAACAGTTATTATCTAAATATAAATAAAACACACTTCTTTATTAGTATATATACTAGTATATTATTATTATTACTGATATAATAAAATAATAGTATAATGTACTATATACTAATAAAATCAATAGAATTAAGTGAAAGTGTGTAAAATACTACACTTTGAGCGCAATACGCCACTCTCTAGTGTAAACCCATAACAAAACAACAAGATAAAGTCTGAATTAAAGAGACTGGTAATGGTCCTTCTTCACTTTCTTTGAATAGATGATGAACCCAATGAGTCCGATATTGATAACGATCAATAAGAACACTGCAATAGAAAAGACGATGATAGTGATCATCAAGTCCTTATCCATTCCCGGCTCTTCAGATGGGTCGATGATAGGTTGAACAGCCTGTTTCAGTGTTGTTTTAATGACGACGGTACTGTCTTGATATATTTTGCTATTTGATTTCAGAACAATAACAAAGTCTCCATGGACTTCTGTCTCATTTGAGTAGATGCTGCACTTGTTATTAGTATTTACAAACGTCTCAAATCCAAGCGGATCACTAACAACGTCAATCTGAAGAACTCCATTTGCAGTACTCTTGTATTGAACTATTTGATGCTTCCCTTCATAACAAATGGACTCTTCTTGTGCACTTTCAGTACGGAAGACTGCATTAATAACAGCGGGAGCAGTTTCATCGACTACAATAGGAAGTGGGGAGGACTTTTCTTCATCGGCGAGTTTAAGTGTGAGTCGATAGATCCCGGCTTCTTTCATGACAGTCAGTAAAGTGCGTTGGTCTTGTTTCATATCAACTGTAGTGATTTGCGTTCCATCAATTTCAACAGCAACTTTCCAATTAGTTCTTCCTAAGACACTGTAATAGATGGTGTTGGCTTCTGTGTATGTGTGAATGTCAAAGGTCAATGGCAAAAACTCTTGTCTAATAACTATAGGCTCAGTCTTACTCGCAGAGACTAACATCTTCTCTGCTATGACTACGTACTCAGTCACTTCTGTGTCGGCGAGAGAGACAAAGTACGTTTTAGACTGTCCAACCTCCACTACTAATGGCTTTGGAAGTAACATCACTTCACTAAATGTGGTGCAATCAGTGACTTCTTGAATGCCTACAACTTGATATGTGTCTTCCATTGTATGAAAGGAAAACCCTAACGCACTGCTCTCGGGAGTTATTTGGATGAACACTCCCTTTCTCGAGTTATAGACGGTGCGTTGGGAAAGGTCTTCAATGTAGATGTTTGTCGAGCCCTTTATGATTTGTGGGTCTTTGCATTCGTTGTACTCTATCTTAATCGAAGAGCAAATCGAGACAAGAAGTAATAATCTCAACATCTGAGTATTCGAAGTTCACAGTTCCATAAACAAAAATTATTAAAAGAATAAGAAGACAACATTCGAATTTTCTGGGTGTTCGCAAATCTCTTTAATTAAAAATTTTAAATCAATTTAACAAAAAATACTATAAATTTATTTATTATTCAATTATAATTAATTTTTTATATCTTATAATTTTGTTATAATGAACTATATTATACAATATATTTACTTGAATATAGTATACTTCTTTTTTTTTATTTAAAAACAAATTTTTAGTTTGAATATACTATATTATAATACATTTTAATTAATACCAAGTACTAGACTTGAATAATTTCATAATAAAAAAAACAACTATAAATATTTTCTCTTTTTGATATCACTGAAAAACTTGAAAAAAGACCAATTTGTGAATGGAACCACAGTTCAAAGTGAACGACAAGGTCCTATGTCACAAACATGAGGATCCAGCAGGGTCATACCGTGAAGCTCAAATACTTGAAACGAAACAAACGACAACACAAATAATGTATTACATTCGGTATACAGAATATAACAAACGACTTGATGAATGGACGTCAGCAGATAACGTGATCAAGTACTCCTCGAGAGAAAACCTCAACATCATTCGCCCGACCCGTCGCGACGACGGCGGAAACCCGCGGAAGATGACGCGCGCGCTCCGGAAGACGAACGTCGCGATGTTGGAACGCGACAGCGAGCCCGCGGGAACGATGTCGAATGCGCCGGAGAATGAAGCGCCGCAACGGACCAAAAATATCCAATACGTCACTATAGCCGACTTTGATCTTCCTGTGTGGTATTTCTCTCCATATCCCGGGAAGTATGGGAATGTCGAACGACTGTATGTTTGTGAGCATTGCTTGAAATACATGGAGAAGCCTCGGACATATCTCACGCACCGTCAAAAATGCCCATATCACTTCCCGCCCGGTCTTTTGATCTATAAAGACCCGGAAAGGAAAATTGCGTTCTTTGAAGTGGACGGCGAAGAGGCGAAATTGTATTGTCAGTCGTTGTGTTTACTCTCGAAGATGTTTTTGGACCACAAAACTCTGTACTACGACGTCGAACCGTTTTACTTCTATGTGTTGTGCGAGTACGAACCTAAGACGGAACTTGAAGACGAAAACTTCCACCTTGTCGGGTACTTTTCTAAAGAGAAGGCAAGCCCCGATGGGTACAACTTGAGTTGTTTGATGGTGTTACCGCATCATCAAAGAAAGGGGTATGGGAAGATGCTTATATCGATGAGTTACGAGTTAAGTAAAATTGAGGGTATCCCGGGCAGTCCAGAAAAGCCATTGAGTGACTTAGGGTTAGTCAGTTTCAAGAGTTATTGGACTAAAGTCATTGCCGATGAACTCTTGAACAACTGCCCAGAAGGTCCGAATATCACGGAGTTAACACTGAAGACTGGAATCACTAAAGAAGACTGTGTTAGTACTTTAGACAGTTTAGGACTTATAGTGTCGTATAGGGGGTCACAATCGATAACTACAACACAGAAAAAACTCGAACAACTTCGACTTGATTTTCCTCAAAAGGAAGTCTTAGTTAAGAAAGAGTTGCTCAAGTGGAAACCACACGCTGTTGTTATTAAGAACCCAGATATCATGGAAACACTCAAAACATACGTATAACCAAATTAATTGATTGCAGAAGTGACTCTACTTTTGAGCGCAGATATCGTGTTCTCCACTCGAAATATGCACAACTCGACTCGCGAGACATTCCGTTCAAACGCGTCAGTCTTGTTGAAATCGACTTTCTCACCGTTGGCAGTGATATTACAGATCAATTGAGCCTTTTCGAGTTCTTTCTTATCGTCGTGTGTCATCCCTTGTTGTAAGATCGTCCGCACTTTGAGAAGATTCACATAGATTTTCTCGAGCGTTTCTAAGTATTTTTTTGGTTGGAGTGTCGTTCCATAATTACAACAGACCATCAACTGAACAAATGAACACGTCGACATGATATCTTCAGAACATTGTACAATCATATATTTGTCGAGAGAATAAAAGTCCGGCCTTTGTAATGCTATTTCGATAATGTCATGAATTCCACTAAGCACTACTGAACTCCCCTCACAACATTTAAGCACTTTGTGAGCTTCAAGTGTCGATGAAATGGATTTAACTAGGGTTATCATAAGTCTAATGGAGTATGAAAATAGCGCTCGAAACTTCTCATTTGAAATGTTCTGTTTGAGTATTTCGTATATGACTGGAGCTGGTCGGTCGAATATGAAAGACTCGAAGGTGCTCACAATTTCTCTTTGGAATTTGAGGTCGTCTGTTTGTATGTAAGATAGTGAGGTGTATAATTTCAACACAATTTCTGCGTCTAATTCGTCTTGGTTGTTTTCGATTAATGTTTCTAATATTTTGAGAACGGAGTGTGAGGGAAGTTGTGCATTTTTAATTGCATTTAACACTGTTTTATAAACCACCGATTTACTTAAGACTAAAGGAAGCTGAAGGTTGACCGATAAATACACTAAAACGTTCTCAGCACTCAGAGAAAGAAACGCGTTAGCGACATGTCCATTTGCAAGGACTTTATCTTGTAATTTGGATTCTAGGGTTTCGCTAATTTCGAAATTTGATATGATGGTCAATAGAAGTGAAGTCGCTTTTTCACAACTTGGAACAGTTGACAAAGCTGCATCGATAGTGTTGTATATCACATTTTTGTCAGACTCTGATGAGATGTCACCGAGTGAATGATATGTATTCATCACATACTCTTTCATCTTGTCGAACAACAATTCGATTTTTGGACTTGGGATACAACTAATGACTACATGTCAGTACAACACACATTTTAATGATATTTTAGTGATACAACAAACTGTTCGGGAGATAGCTGAGTGCATTCAGAAGAGTATTTTTGTCTTCTGTATAAATAGGAATAGATGTATGGACGAGTAAAATCTCTCGAGGTGAAGCGGTGGTATATAACGCATCTACAAATGGTCGAACTAACTCTTTGATATCACTTGAACATAATGTGTGGAATATTATAAGAAGTTTTGCATTAAACTCAATGACTTCGACTACGACTTCGATGTGTTGTGTGAGGTACATGAAAATGTCAGGTAAGAGTGTATTGGTCAAGTCGAATTTCTTTAAAAAGAGTTCCATGAGTGAGTATTCTATCATCCCCTCATCTTTACTCTCAACAGACTTTTTGATCAATTCAAATTTTTCATTGAAAGACATCAAATCTTCTTGATCGTCTTTTGTACACTTTGGTTCATCTTTGAAATCCTCATAGTTGTCCTCGCCATTCATTTTTCTTTTATTTTCAGTTTAAAAGTCTTCAAAAAAAGAATTTCCATTTAAATAAATAAACCTCATATTTTCCTTTTTAAGATGAAGTCCTCCAATTAAGTATTAAAGAAAATTTTATATATGACGACCTTAAAACTCGAAAAACAGAACAATGGATTTGACTCAATTACGAAACGCTTATGAGTCGGCTCATACAGTCGAAGACATACTTTTTCTCATCTTTAAAAGTCCATTTACACTACAAGAGATTAAAAAGGACTTAACTCCTTTATTAAAAAGTAAAATGTGTCAATTTTCTGGGATGACTCCAGACAGACAAATTGTCTATCGTTGCTTAACATGTGCGAAGTCACAAGTAAGTTGTGTTTGTTCGAAGTGTTTCCAAGAGAGTAATCATGTTGGTCACAACTACTTTTCTTTTGTTACTAATGACAGGTTTACATGTGACTGTGGCAATGAATTCTTTTGGGACAAGAGCGGGTTTTGTAAAGAACACACGGGAGAATACATTACGAATCCAGAGACTTTAATACCAGAGAAGTATCGCCAGTGTTTAATCCTCCTTCCTGACTTATTTCAATGTTGTCTTCACTTCATTCAATACGACCCAAGTTGCACTTTTGTCAATTTGGTTTTTACATGTCTCAGACAACTCTCAGACGTCCCACTTCTCTTTTTAATATTCTCACGAATGCTTCAGGCGCAATCAGAGATGGGAGAGGAGTCACTTTTATGTACCGTTTATCAAAGGAAGTCGATCACTTTATTTGAGCATTATGCAGAGTATTGTTATCTCTATGAAGAAATTACAGAGTCAGTCCTTCCATTCTTAGCTGATTTGTTCAGAGATGAAAGACTCATCAAATTCGACTTATCTTCACTGTTTGATTTGGCTTTCTATTCTATTAATATTAATCACTCAAACGCTACAGCATTGGATGGACTTTTTCTTGGTATTGTTTATAGTAAAGATCTAATAGAAAAGTACTTTTTAGAAAGTAAGAAGTTTGACACTTTAATATCAAATTACATTGATTGGATTCCTCAATTTATGAACCACATTCTGAACGACCAGGAAGAAGTGAACCTTCTCAAACTCACCGAGAAATTGTTCTCCCCTTTTTGCTACTCGGACAGCTTTGAAACAAACGAATTTAACACTGAAAATGTTGTTAAACTAATTTCGTTGTGTTCGAACACAACACCGTTTTATATTGATAAGAACAAATCACCACAATTTGACGACCAAAACACATTCTTCTTCTTCTACTTATTGTTAATCATAAGCGAGTTCTCACGACTTGTGATCAAAAATAAGAAATTCAGAAGTCAATTTCAAATGGTCACAACACGAGTGTTACACCATGTGACGAACTTTTTAGAAGACGTTCCTGTTATTGAAGTGAATGGTGTCTCTGTCCCTAGAAGAGAGGTTGGAGTCAATCAACGAGTCTCTCCCATCTCTGGGATTCTTTCATTTTACAATTACATTTTGTTTGAAGAGAAAGAGTGTGGCGATCTGAACACAATAGGACTCTGTCAAAAAGACGCAGAAGACTTGTTACAATTTGCATTAACATCCCTCAAATTTGGACAACAATTTCAAAACGATGAGTATGGGAAAAGTAGAGATAACGTCATTTTAGTGTCGTTTTACTATAATGGACTCACATTCACATTTGCTAAGAACGCGGACTTAAATACTGCAAAATTGATGTTAGAGTTCATCCCACTCAAAAAGTACTTTGCTCTACTGTTGGTGATGTTTGGAGTGGAGACTGCTAATTCTCAACACCAACGACAAGAAGCTTTTGTCAACTTTTTGACGATTATCATTCAAATGAATCGAACTAATGAACAGCGACTTAATTTTAATAACAGAGAGTTGGTAATGAAAGTACTAGCTCATATAGTGGCAGCTGGTGTGGAACGTCCAATGGAAGCGTGTGAATACATATCATTGAGTGAGTTAGATCTCGTCAAATTATTCGAAGAAGTTGTGGCGAATAAGAAGAAGTACTTTAAAAAAGTCGACCCACTCTGTCCCTTTGTCCCTTTTAAAATAGTGGAACCACTTTTGACCAACACCTTATTCAAAAACACGTCATTAAAAGAAAATAGATTCTATGTGGAACAGACAGAGTGGAATATTAAATTACTCGCTGGGATATGCAGTGAAGAGTTCTGGAGTATTATTTACAAAGAAATGAACACTCTTGCACTGCCTTATATTCTAATTATACTTACTGATATCAACACGGCATTACAAGACCTTAGTCATCAAGATGAAATCATTCACTTATTAAAAAACTGTGCTTCCATGAAAGAAGTTTATTCCTATGTTAACACTAATAAAGAGAGTGTCTTTGGATTTAAAGAATTTGTGACTGGGGTGACTAACAAGGCGTTGAGAGACATTCTTGGGATAGTCACTGAAGCTCCAAAGAAAGTCGGTAATGCGCAGTCGAGTCTCCGGCAGAAGATGTTACAACGGATGAAGTCAAAGCAAATAGACAAGATCAAACAAGATGCTGAGAGTAACAAAGAGAGTGTATTTATTCATAATAGTGGTGATGTCCCTGAAGACATGAATATAACTGAAACTGATGATTCATGTGTTGTGTGTCAGTCCACACAAGAGAGTGACATAGGTCGACTTATTAACTTTGCCGAAGGTATTCCTTATGAAATAAAACACTCTAAAAAGGGGAGTTATACATTAAGTTGTTATGTGTTATCTACTTGTGTCCATCACGTCCACGAGTCTTGTTTCAAACGCGTTCAAGATCGTCTCCAATGTCCGATCTGTAAATTTCAGACATCTTCATTCATCCCATTGTCTTCACAAATCGATCCCCTCCCACCACAACAAGTCACTGCACACTTCTCTCTACTGGAACAATATGCTACACAACACAATCACCTCTTCTCAGACTTTTTAATGATGACACTCTCTTCGACGTTGAAGATGATTGTTACAATGGTCAATGAAGATGAAAACACGAATGACGAGTTGATAGATGCAGTGCAATCACTCATTCTAGCTACACAGAGTGTCTTCACAGTCGCCGACATCAAAAGGTATTTAGACCACTCTGTGACATTAGATCCATTTGTTTTATACGTCGTTGAGAGGCTCAATGGGATGAATGGGCGGTGTGCCTTCCAATTAGAAGTCGACAACATTCTGAGTACTATTGCTCAATATAAAAAGCAGTTATTACCACCGGATCTCATTGATGTCATCCTCCCATTGGACCGTGCAGAGAAGATCGAATGTCTCAATGAGTGCAAAAATTTTGAAGATGCCGTGTTACAGATGTCCATTGAATTTGTGAATACTGTTCAACTCTATGAAGAATTTGGGAGTGCTTTGACCAGTTTTAAAAGAAATGAAAAATACGACGTGAAGGAATTTATTAAGACTAGTGTCGGGAATAGTAAGTGCAGTAGTATTCCAACCATTCAGACTAAATTGAACTTCATCGAGTTACCTACAAAGCTCTGTGATTTGTTTGGGAAGTACAGTCTCTCTAAGTGTTGTCAGTGCAATTGTTTAATCACAAATCAGACGTCTTGTCGTATTTGTATGTTATGTGGAGCACCACTGTGTTCTGAAAATTACTGTTTGATTCAACACGGGAAGACTTGTTCTAATGGAAACGTCGTCTTCTTCGACTTCTTTTATTCTGCTGTGTGTATTATGACGGAAAAGGGAAGAAGGGGCATGTCGGTATATTATGACGGGTACGGTGAATGCTATTCGGTTCAAAATATGATGTTGGATTTGTTTCGGTTCGAACCACAAAAATGGAATCAGTTTGTTGTGATGTTGGAATAGAATTATACTTATTAATAGATTTAAACGTTCGTTCTTGAAGTGTTCCATTTTATATGATTCAATCATGAAAGACTTTGACGTGATCGTCCCAGATTCTGAAGAAGAAAGTGAATCAGAACAAGACAACGGATTGAACTAATTTATTGTTTTTTATTTGTTTTGAATACTATAATTCAGAGTAGATTTTATCAAAAAATTGACTGGTTAAATTGACTAATATACTTACAATATATTTTAGTTTGACTACTGATGAAGCTTAACTATTTGTGTTATTAATTATAACTAATAATATAATATTGAAATAATAATAATATCGGACGTTTTGTTAAATGTCTCAAAAAACTCATAAACCCCAAAAAACTGTCTAGAAACGGGAAAACGAAAAAATGATTTGAGATAAGACAATAAAAAAGTGTGATCTAATAGTTTTGATTTTATTATAATTATTAAATACATTACTATACAAAGATGTTGTGCAAAACTATAAAGTCTTTTTTTGTTCTAATTATAAGTGTCAAGTAATATACTTATAAATATTAGTAAAATAAACTATATTTTTTAATTTCAAAAAATATTTGTAAAAAACAAGTTAATTGTTGTCAAAAAAAAGCATCACGTCATCTTAGAAAAAAACAAAGAATAAATAATTTACGAGTCTAAAAATCATATCAAGAAACCTTTATCTTGTGTTATATTATTTTTTCTTATTTCACTGTTTTAAAAATATTATCATACTATAATTAATAAAAACTAATACTGATATAATATAAAATAGTTATATAATAAACATTGTTTTTATTACCAATTATTATTGCACTTAATTCAATTACAAACTTCAAACTCCACGTCAAACGACTGCAATAGAAAATTAAATTATAATTATTAGTTGACTCACTTCTCCATTTGCCAGAACGAACATCAAAGTAAAGAAGCAAAAATTGGGAGAAGACAAACTTCAAAACTTACAGCAATAAAAAAGACCTCGAAACTAAAAAATTCAGAACCCCCAAACAAGCCCACATGTTCATGCAAAACGAGAATATCCGCAAAATAGTCCAATGCCGCGAGGTCTTTTATAACATCGCTACATCTCACGATCAAATCGAGAACATCAACTTTGACATGTTAGGATGCTCACTGTTGGCCGGAATGGCTTTAAACGCGATCACTTCCCAGAACGATACCGTTCGAGTTAAAAAGTCGTTACAACTCATCGAACAGACCCCTAAAGGTCTTCGCTCAAAGTTTTTGAACGAGTGTTACAGTGCCGCAGTACATTTTTATAACGAAGAGAAAGGAGTCGATCGAATGGAATACCTTCAAATCATTTGTAATATAATCAACAACGCAGAGACTTATTCACAATGTTTCGACATCTTCAAGGTGGTTGTTGAACAATTTATTATTAAGGAGGAAGAAACTAAGCTCGAACCATCCCACTACACAAGAGTCCAGTAGAGCGTCTTGGGCTTTACTCTCTCCTTCAATGTTTTTATTGAAGTCTTTGAAACATATGTTGTTACTTTTCTGGTTTCCATTCTATTCATTTTTACTATTCAAGTCAGTTCTTGACTTGAGTCCGTTTTCCATAATAATAGTTATAATTTAGTACTTGAACTCTTCCTCGTTTTTGAAGGAAAATCACTTTTAAATCAAAAACGAAAATCATTTTTTTATGATTTGTTGATAAAAACGATTTGTTTGGAACTCTATCCCGTTTTTTTGGCAACAAAAAATGGAAATGTTTCAGATTTTTAGTATTAATAAAATATAGTTAAAATATAATAAAAATGTGTTATTATCAGAAATAGAACGATCACGTGGATTTGAATCAAATCATTTGATAAGTTCCAATTCTCATTAATAAAAAAGAAACTATAAAATCTAGTAATACCAAATCATGAAGACGATTGCGTTACTTACGGACTTTGGTGTTGGCGAGTATGTTGGCATCATGAAGGGTGTCATTCTTAAAACAATTAAAAGTCCGGTGAATATCGTTGATATCAAACATGACATTGAACCACAAAACATTCTTCAAGCGTCATGGATTCTTTCGACGTGTGTGAACTACTTTCCCGAAGATACCATATATGTGTGTGTAGTTGATCCTGGCGTTGGGGGTGATCGAGCAGATCTATTGATTCAAACAAAAACAGCGACATTCATTGGTCCGAACAATGGTCTCTTCACTCACACACTCAAACAAAACAATTTTGACATCCTCCACGTCTATTCACTCCACTCCAAAACGTCCTCCGCTACTTTTCATGGCAGAGATGTCTTCTCTCTTTCTGCAGCTCAATTTGCAAACGGTGACGTCATCAACGCAACGGAAATCCCTTTCCAAGAGATCGTCTATTTAAACATATCCAACAACACACAAGACACCATCCACATCGTTTCAATCGACACTTTTGGCAATTTAATATCTGACACACCAACTTCTTCTTTCACCCACAACCAACTCGCTTCGTTAAAATCACTCGAACAATTCAAAACAGGTCAAATCAGTGACGTTGCCTTTGTCAAAACTTATGAAGAAGGTGCAAAGCATAACATCGCCTTAATTCTTCTCGAAGGCAGTAATAACACGCTTGAAGTTTCCAAAGTCAATGGCAGTGCAGCTCGTCTTCTTTCTGTCACTATCGGTGAAACTCTCAAATTACATTTTCTCTAATTCACAACTTACTTTGCAAATATCTTATTCAAACACATTCTCACTTCCCATTATTTTTCTCTAAGATTTAAACCACAATCCACACAAATGAAAATTTAATACTTCTGATCGACCTCCATTTTGAGTTTATTCCATTCGATTCTCAGTTCTTTAGTGTCGACGGGTCTCAGTTCATTCGCCAAATCGTTCCTCTTCGCCAGTTCAAATCGTTCCGATGGTGTTGGGGTGAACAACGCCTCACCGTCCTTGAATTCCATTTTCAATCCCAATGTGACTGTTCTCTTCCCAAGTCTCGCTTCCTTCGCAGTCATCTTTTTTTTCGTCGGTGGGGTGTTCTGAAGTGCGCTGTAGCTCGTCGAGAGGCCGACAAATGTTCTTCTTCTAAACGCCATTAGTGCAGTTTTGCTGTTACTCCGTTGGTGATGACTTTGTTCTTGGCTAGAAGTCTTCTCCTCCAACTCGGGAGTCGTTGACCCTTCTGCCGGTTCCTCTCCTTCGTTCTTGAATGATTCAAACACAATCGCATTAAAGATTCGATTGGCAATTTTATTGATGTTCTCCGTGATCATTGGCAACGTGTAGTAAAACCCATTTGCGAATTTGGGTAACCAGAATGGATGGGCGACACACGTATATGACAAAAAGCTGAGTTCGTCGTTGGTGATCATCAACACTGCAGCATCATTGGAATACACATCACAGTAATTCGGCGCACTGAAGATCGTGATGGTCACCGGCGTTTCGGAACAACCCTCAAAATTCATTTTACACCCACTCTTCTGCACTTCATGCCCTCGAACTATACAAACTATGTCATTCCTCGCTAAAAATCGCCTCACTGCACTAAACCCATAATAATAGCTACACCCCCTCGTCGTATTGAAATCAAACAATTCATTTTGAAACTTCAGTTGTTGGTTGAAAGGGAGTTGGTCATAGTCCGAGTCATCTTGTGGGTCGCTCCACAGTAAATCACAGAAGAGCCCATCCTCTGGTGGTTCTTGAAATCTGTCGATGTAACTGATGTCCTTGATTGTTTGCAAAGAGGGAGAAATGCCTCCATGGACACAAAAGAAGTTACCCAAATCTGATTCAATGACAGCACAGAGGGGTAAACAGTCGAACGTGTTCATGATCTCGTCGTAGATTTGTGTGTTATATTTCCAAAGGCATTCTTGTTTGAAATTGAAGTAACTTGTCATCAGTCGGCACTCGTGGTTTCCTCGAAGCAAACTAACTCGATCCGGAAATTGAAGTTTGAGACAGAAAAGTAAGATGATGACTTCCGTTCCGAAGCACCCACGATCAACATAGTCCCCAAGAAATAACATCTTCTCACTCGACCCATTAAAGTCTTGGTATATATTACACAAATCATAAAACTGTCCATGGATATCTCCAAAAACTGCGGTGCGTCCAGTTATTGTGATGACATTGGGAAGAGCCCGGAGTTTGTCTTGCGTGCGTTTTAGTATTTGGAGAAGAGCGTCGGGGTGAAGTCTTCCTTCTTGCTTTAAATGGTTTAATAACGTTGGGAAATCAATGTTACCTGCCGTATCAATAAATTGGTCGTATGTTAATAGAAGGTCTATCATTGGGTCGACCGTTTTAATTGCTCGATCAGTGGTTGATAGTACGTTGGTAGTCATGAGTTGTTTAGGAAATAAGATCCAGTTTTTTTTGTTCCTATTCGATGAATTACTTAATTATTGTATGGTTTATTTATAGTTGTCTATTAGTATCACTGAATGAACGAAAGGAAGAAAATACATTAAAGTTTAATTTGTCATTTACAAAATATAATAGGTATTCTATAATAGCGAAATTTTATTTATTATAGTTTTTTTTAATTCAACGACCCAAATTAAGTTATCGACAATAATTATTAGTAACTAGTTTTATAGAATTTGTTATTTTTTTGCTTGAAATATAATAAAAACTAATTTTAACTGTTTTCTGTTTTTAAAAAGACTAAAATTGGAAAACGAAAAAAAAAATTCTAATATTTTTTTTGAAATTTTTTTGCCTTTTTTTTGTTTTTTTCTGATAATTATATTGTTATTGTTATTATAATAATAGTAAAAAAATAAACTAGTATTATAAGTTTGTTAAATAATATATAATTATGGGTTAATTTATAATTTAACAATTGCTTTGAGAATTATTTAAAATAATATTTTATAATAGTTTACTTAAAACTATAATTCTATAATAATAATACAATTGTTTTTGGTTTTTGTTATCAATTCAAAACTATTTAAATTCCCAATAAATTAGAATATTATAAAGCACTTCGATTCTACTTTCCTCATTTTTTAATAACAAAATATCAAAATAGGAAAGTGAATACTCACCCATTGTTATTCAATTAAACTAATATTAATATATATATAGTATTAAAATTATAATAATTAGTATTTTTAATACATTCATCACTCATGATTATTTACCCAAAACAAATCTTCATTTTGTTATTGAACATACAGTCCCCACTTCCGTCATTCTTTGTTGCGCAAAGTACAAATTACTCAAACAAAATTGTTAATCTCCGCATCAGTCTTATAAAAAGATTTCGAAGACTTCTAAGATATCACTTGATGAGTCAAAGCACGGACCAGACTCCATTGACTGTTGATATCACACAAACAAATTACATGCCATGGTTAGAACACAATTTTCCATGTGATTGCATAATATTCACAAACAAAGAAGTCAACAAAGTAGTTGAGAGTCTCTTGGGGTATTCCAAATTTTTTGAAGACTTTGTCTTCCTTTCGTTCAAAAAGTTTGCTGTTGTGATCTCAAAAGACTTGCCAAACTCCGACGAGACTATTTTGAAGCATTATGGGCATAAAGGGATCATGGAGTATGAGTCGACATTATCGCGTGATATTCTTCCTGGGCGATGTCATCGTATTCGAGTGAGTTACATATCTTTTGAAGAAGACAATGGGGGTATTAAAAGGTTAGAGAAGTGTATTAAACTCAGAGAACAAGCAAAATTATGTGATGAGGTACAACACACGATGACTCATGAAAGTGGATGTCATTGGTGTTTGTCATTTGCTTGGAAGAATGTCGACTTGGAGTATTTCATGTACAAAATAGCGTACATTTGTCGACTTCGTGATATTGGAATTTACAAGACACAGTTTGGGATGTCGGGGATACTTACAACACAAGCCCTCTTATATGGCAAATTGGAGTTAATGGGCGAAAACTTGAACGACTCAAATCTGCGAAATAACTTCATCAACGAGTTCTCTGGGCTCCGTAACATTTCCATCGACGATCAAATCAGTTTGAAATTAGTCGACAACAAGATTATTTCAAATAACAAAGCGATGGTAGTGAGAACGTTAGTGACGTTAGTCTCACAATTACTTGGCGAGGTAGATGAGACTAAATACAATGAAGAGAGTATAACAGAGGCTCTAACTTTCCATCCCAATTTGACGAAAGAAATCACAAAGGCTTTTGAAGTCAAATTCAAACCGTCAAGTCAGCGTGTTGGGGAGTTCTGCGCGATGGTAGAAGACTTAGAAAATCAGTGCGACTTGATAGATACTGGTAGAAAGACAAATGACGAGAGAAGGAAGACGATCATCAAGTCCATCATCATTGCATTGAAGTCGATACTTAAAACGAACTTCTATTGCAACGAAAAGTCTTCACTGGGGATGCGACTCGATCCAAAGATCTTAGAACAAATCCCTGGCTTACAGAAGACTGGAGTGTATACAACACTTCCTGTTGGTATTTTCTATATCAAAGGATATAACTTCTTTGGATTTCATGTGAGATTTAGAGACTTAGCTCGAGGTGGGTTAAGGACGGTAATAACTCGAGACTCCGACCAAGCGAAGTATGAGCGCAAAGGGATCTTTAAAGAGTGTTATAATTTGGCGCTGACTCAACAAATGAAGAACAAAGACATTCCAGAAGGCGGAAGTAAAGGAGTTATCTACTTAGCGCCAACGCAAGCAAAGACGGAGTCTGAAATAGTCTTTGAGAAAGTGAAAATCGAGAGGAGGTATACCACTGCAGAAGTCGACAAATACATCACTGAAAAGGAAACAGAGTATTTGTATCAAACACAACGCTCATATGTTAAGACTTTGCTGTCGCTCATTGTCATGAAAGACGACGCAATCAGTGAAAAGAACATCGTCGATTATTATGGCCGCCCCGAGCCAATTTACCTTGGCCCCGACGAAAACTTACACGACAAGATGATTGAGTGGATAGCACAGGAGAGTGTTCGACAACAATACTTTGCGGGCGCCGCATTTATCTCTGGTAAGAAAGCTGGGATCAACCATAAGAAGTATGGCGTGACCTCTTTAGGTGTCTACCAATACTTACTCGAAGGGTTGAAAGCCATTGGTCTCGAGAACAAGAATTACACATTAAAAATGACAGGAGGTCCTGATGGGGATGTTGGTGGGAATCTCTTGAAGTTACTCGAGAAGTACCAGAAAGGACGAGTTAAAGTGAATGTGATAGTCGATGGTACTGGGTGTCTTTATGATCCTCTTGGAGTTGATTTGGAGGTGATGAATACCCTTTTCAAAGTCGTTCAAGGGATTACCGCATACCCCCCTGATAAATTGAATGAAGGGGGGTACATAGTTCAGATCCAGACAACGCGAGTAAAGAATGAAGTGAGTCGTGAGACGTTACGAATTAAGAAAGATAGGGGAACAGTCGTAGAAGAGTATATCCCATCGAATGAAGCGATACGAATATATACTACCCTTGCTCATAAAACAGTCAGCGACGTATTTATACCGTGTGGGGGAAGACCGAGAACACTTCGCGTGGATAATGTTAAAGACTTCTTCATCGAAGATGTCCCGACTGCAAAATTAATAATTGAAGGAGCTAACTTGTATGAGACAGAAGACGCGCGACAAGTGTTGGAGAAGAGCGGAGTGTTAATCTTCAAAGATTCGTCAGCGAATAAGTGCGGAGTCATTTCGTCGTCGTTTGAAATACTGGCCGGACTTGTTTTGACCGACGAAGAATTCTTTGAGATCAAAGACCAATACGCCAAAGAAATTCTGTTGAAGCTTGAGGAACTTGCGAGGAAGGAAGCGCGGTGTATGATAGAATATAAAGTTCACCATCCTGATACGTTGATGTCTGAAATCTCGATCTTAGTCTCTCAAAAAATCAACAAAATGACAGATAGAATATATGGAGCTTTAGAACCTCTTGATTTGTTTAGTATTAAAAATACATTACTCTTGAATGTTGTTGTCGAGTATCTCCCACCTACACTTAAAGGTCATTACTTGGAATTGACTTTAAGAAAGTTAAATCAACAGCATATGAAAGCTATTATAGCAACTTCTATAGCTTGCGAATTGGTTTACGGAAGAGGTTTGGATTGGAAAATATCTGTTTTAGATATTATTCCAACTCTTTTGGCACAAAAATCTAATTAATCAAATCACATTTGTGAGATTATGACGTTTTCTTTTTTGTTTTTCAAATTGTTTTTTTTGATTGAATGAAAAAAATAAAACTTGCTTTGTCAAAAATTGAAAAATAAAAAAAGACAAAAACAAATTTGGAATTTCTTAGTTGTTTTGAAAAAATGAATAAAATTTCAGGAATTTAACGAAAGAAAAAACTCAAATAAAAATCAAAAGAACTCGAAAAGAAAAGAAATTTACATTTTAGTAAAAAAACCATAAAAAAAAACAATTCCTCTTTTTCACAGAGAAAAGAGAAAAAATAAGAAAACCAAAAAGATAAAAAACAAATAAAAAAAGATAAAAAAAATGAAAAAGAGAAATTTTTTCATTTTTCTTCCCCAAAAAAACAAAAATTTCGAACTTGAGAAAAAAAAAACAAATTACAAAATAATGGCGCAAGAACCTCAAGAAATAAAAATGGAGGGAGATCATCAATCTCTCACCTCTCACTTCTTGCCAACCGAAACGACAATCCCACCACCCCCTGTCCAACATTTTGACATGCAAGATCAAACGATGACTTCTATGATGACTCCCACCTCTTCTCTGATTCATACAATCGATGCACCACAAACCATTCTTCCCGAGTGTCCTGAGATCGAAGACCCACAAAGTCAAATCGTTCCAATGGGACAAGTCGGCGCAAAGGCAAAAAAGTGTGTCAAAAAGGAATTAGTCAAGGACAAAGATGGTAATATGTTCTATTGCTACACTTATTTGGTCAAAAACAAGAGCGGCGAAGAACACGAACAACACGTCTATGTCAAGAGAACTTCTAAGTCAAAAAAAGTCAAAACCGCCGGGGAGAGAGTCGTCGGGGGTCGGGTCGTTGTCGACGAGAAAGAACGAAAGGTTACAAAACAACATCAACTCCTCGCTGAGTTCGTCGACGCACACATCTCTCAAATACAGACTTATAACAAGTTCATCGTCTCAAGAGTCCTCCAAGACGTCAAGCGGGAACAACCTGACTCAAAAGTCTCTTACGGCCTTGTAAAGAAAGTCCTCGAACAAAAGGGTCTTCTCCAGACAAAAAAATCATTTTATAAACTTTAGTTCGTGATTTTTCGTCCTCTCTTTCCTCCAGACTTCTCACCTTAACTATTATACTATAAATAGTATAATAAAAATAACTATTTGGACATCACTTTTGTTATGCAGTGTGTTGTATAGTAACTATACCATCACCATTGGTATAGAGAATAATAATTATAAAATAAACCATTCCATATAGTTTCTCTAGATAGATTAAAAACTATTTTTAGAAAGGGTAAAATGGAACTAAAATATGTGAATGAGGAACTTAAAAAGTGTGAAGTGGTGGTGTATTGGGTCAAAGAGGTGAACAAAAAACAAACGTGTGTTGTGTTGTTGTGTTTGCACATTGAGTGAATTTTTACAGATGGTTTTGATTTTCTTTTTTGAGAAAACTGTTGATTTTTTTGAAGGGGAAAAAATAATTGGTCATTATCTTCAAAAAAGGAAAAATACAAAATTCGTGAATTGGATGTCTGTATTATTTGATGGAAAAAAATGTAAAGATAAAATCAATGCAATACACTTCGTTGTGAATTTGGTTGTATCAAATAGAACAAGACAATCTATTTGCCCGCGTCTTTTGGTGGATTCTTCCACTCGTCAGGGAACGTCACCCCCTTTCCAAGTTTCATCGTTTGCGCTCTGTTGATTCTCCCCAACGGTTTTCGTACGGGTGGAACAGTTAGGATCTTGTCGGTGTCTTTTTTGTCTTTGAGTTGGAGCATTCTTGGGGTATTAGGGCCTTTACCATTGCAGACATACATCTCGGCGGTGTTGTATGGATCGCACATCTTGTGCATCACCAATTTACATTTGATGCATTGGATGGAGTCTTTTTGTTTGACCGTCTTCTTACAAATTGGACACTTTGCTCCCTCTTCAATACTCGGAATGAATTCATGTGCTTTGTAAGACGTCTCTAATTTGTGCAAATTCAAATCGTCGGTCGACGCTAAGAACAAAAACTTTGCAGTTTTCTCATCTTTGCCAACACGTGTCAAACTGCCCGTGATCAACCTCACACCCTTTCCGTTTGAAAGGTCGAAACTTTGAATTACGTCATAATTATTCTCGTCAACAACTGTCAGCTTGCCGTTCGTCTCACCAACCCATACATTTGTCCCACACTCGACAATGAATACCACCTCATCAAAACTGAACTCGTGGAGCAGCTGTAGCTTCTCGTTGTATACATTCAATTTACTGACGTCTGGGTAGTAAGTCCACAAGTTGTTGTCGATCACCAGCATTTGCGTCGTTTTCAGTTGTATTTGCTCCTCCTTTTTCAATACAACTTTCGATTTCAAATCAAACTTGGAAATTCCCGAATTTGTAGCGATGTATAACAAATCGTCTTTAACTAAAATCTGCTTTGCAGCGACCGGAACACCTTTGTGCTTCAACACCTTGACAATGATTTTGTTGTCTTTAAAAGTGTACCTCACAAATTCGCTTGAAATCAAAACCAAGTAGACAACTTCCTTGTAACAGAAGAAGTCAACAATCCCCGGGTGTAAAGCATCTTCAAACGGAATTTGTGTAAATTTATCAACATCAAATATCATCACTTTCCCGTCCTTCGTCCCCACAAACAATTTTTTGTCAAATCGTCGCATCTTCAAAATTTCATGTTCGCAGGAGAATGTGGAAATAATGTTTGTTGGGTTTGCGGCTTCGACACATCTCACCCATCCAACGTTTTTGTCGTTGTAACAGTTCATCGACAAAAAGAGTTTATCTTGGTACTGCACAATGCTCTTCACCTCTCCTGGCATTTTGAGTGTGTCGTTTTTGCTCTTCTCAACTTTTTCGTGTAACTCAATTTGTGTTGCCAAATCATCCAACGACAACGGTTCAATACTCCCTCGATTTGTCTTTCTCAATTTGCGCTTCTCCAGTTTCTTTTCAAATGTCGGAGACACTGGAATTGTCTGATTCAAAAACGTTGGCGACTTCTCTGTGATAAGTTTATCTTGGACCGGAGAGCTTCCTTCCTGTGGTGTATTTGAGTCGCTGGATCCAATTGAACCAGATTTGAACAATCCAGTTAATGTGTCTGATTTTTTCCTTCTTTCTTTGTTTTGTAAGGACGTTCTCTTTACTGCCGTTTCAATTACCTTTGGCTTTGAGAGTTGGGGAACAAGCACTTTTGATTCTTTTGGTGTGCACATGGACATTCTTCGTGCCACACCACTCGACACGGACGCGCTGAGTGGTCTCTGTAATTTAGTGTCGTTATTATTATCGTCGTTGTCGTCTTTTTTCGACTCTGAAATAAAGCTGATGTTCTTTGGTACCTTGTGTTCTCCATACATCTTCTTCACATTTGGATCCAACGAAAATTGTTTGGTGAAGTTGCAAATCTCCTCGAGTAACATGAAGTATTCAAGAGTCTTATCGTTCTTTTTCTTCAAGTAATCGCCAAACATGTCTGCTTGCGTATAATGCATAATAAATGTGACGAGTGGTATTTTCTCGTTGCCTTCCAACACACTTTTGTTGTTATTTGACCACTTTCTGTACGCCGAGTTAAGCATTCTGACACAGTCGTCCTCTATTTTCATGAACATTCTCGGGAAGTAACAGTTCTCAGAAACGTACCGCTTGACGTCCTGAACCGAGAGTCTTTCAATTTCCTTGAAATGCCCTTCGGCAGATAACTTAGTCACAATTCTCAGTGCTCCCTCCATCATCTGATCTTGGTAATTTCCAGTCATAATCATCGTGTTCTGTTTCTTTTCTGTCTCAAGTAAACTCACTTTCTCCTTCATCTTGTCGTTTTCACTCTTCAAATTTTCAACAGTTGAGTTGATCGCACTCAATTTGTTCTCAATTTCATTCTTTTCATGCACAATCTTCTCTTTCTGTAACGTGTAGTTCTGATTGTTCTCCATAATCTTCTTCTCCAATATACTCTTTTGGAGTAACAAGTCTTCTCTGTCATTGTCTTTATTCCTCACGGCGTCGACCTTCTCTATCTTCCCATTCTCCATTGTAATGCGGACCATTAACTCAAGTTCTTTCGTCCCACAGACAACAGATTGGTCGGGGTTCATCGACTCTTTTAATGTCTGCAGTTCCTTGATGGTCATGATGTGGTTTTGAGTCTCTTCGTCAATCTTCTTGATGAGGTCCTCCTTTTCGTCTTTCAACTTCTTTAATTCGCCGATTAACTGTTTGATCGTTCCAACACATTCGGTGATTTTCCCTTTGAGTGATTCGTTCGAATCGCGCTCATCTTCTAAATCGCTCTCCAATCTGCAAATCCTTTGTTTGTCTCTCTGCCTATCTTCGTCAACTGCCTGTTTATATTCTTCAAGTTGCTTTTTCATGTTCAAAAGCATCTCTGGGTAATTCTCTTCTTGTCATTTTATGAACTTGTTAAATAATAGTATGGTTATTATTTGTGTATAGTTATTCATTTGGGGCGAATGGAAAGAAAAAGCGTTTAAGGGAAGAAAATGATGGTAACACAACAAACCTGATGAATCGTCGTCATCCGAGTAATCGTCGTCTGTCGATCCGGTCGACGTGGTGCCTTTGGATTTATCAGACCCACTTGATGAATGTGAGTCGCTTTTAGAGTCACTTCCAGAATGAGAAGCGGATTTGCTGTCGGTAGACTTATCGTTTTTGGTTGTTTGTTTTGAGGGTTTTTCTGCTGCGGGGTTTGTTGTAGCGAGTTTTGTTTGTTGTGATGTTTCCTCGGAACTGTAGCTGTCATCAATGAAGTGTTCCCCTTCAGAGGACTGTCCTTTCTAAGCGTCAGGCTGATGGCGTAGTTATGAATAACAAACAGACATATTAATTGGAATTTTTCAGCAAGGCGATAAATTTTTTTTGGTGGTGGTTCAAACGACTTTAATTTTTTTGAAATGTTTTTCTTTTGTTTTTTTGTCACTTATTTTTGTTTGTCGTTTCAAATTGCTTTAGATAAAACAGTAGTCGGCAAATCCATCACAATTGTTATTTTTTTGATTGATTGTATTAGACCAGAATGCTTTTTCAAGTTTAACCTATATTATAGCTGTTGTTTTTTTTATTATTTATCTTTAGTTTTCATTCAACAAAAAAAGTCATTTTATTATCGGGTATTTTTTTATTTCAATAGGCGAATTATAAATACGAATAATTCTAATTATTCCCAGAAATGGGAATTATCAATTGTTTTAACCAACAAAATCCAAATAATAGTTTATTTTATTATAATTATATTATTATAATAAACCAATTACTTATGAAAGAAAATCCTTTCTCATTTTGTTCTATTTCTGCATTTTTTATATAAATTCATTTTAAATCAAGAAATCACGAATTTGAGATTTTTTCTTATTTTCTTGGAATAGTTTAAAAACTATAATTATCCAATAAATAAAACTTTTTAATAAATAAATATTTATTTATTTAGCATTTTTTATATCTCATTTATTTTGGTCAATAAATGTTTTTATAGTCGCAATTTAAGAAAAAGATAACAGTTAGAGTAATCTCACTTAATCATCACATCATTTTAATTTCATTGCAAAACGAGGTAATTGTTAAAGTATTAGATTTATTACACAAAAACTATTGTGAATAATGTATTAGATATATTGAGGATATAGGAATTGTTCTTATACATAAACATAAAAACAGTTGTTCCTCATTTTCTCCGCACCCTGAATGTCCTCACTCCATAAGAAGCGAAGAAAGTTAAGCGCGAATGTATTTTTTAGTCTAGTTTCATTTAAATACCCTCAAAAACCTATTTTGTAAACCAATTTCTATTTAATAGTTTATTTATATCAACTGGTTAATAAAAAAGAAATTAACCTTCGTTTGTTAATATAATTAGTAAAAATAATTATATTTAAACTACTTTTGGTGCGACTAACATATAATAAAATTAATTAAAAACTTGAAACTAAACAAAAGAGAAAAGTTCAAACACTAAAACTCAATTAGTGAATGGGAGAGGAAGACACACAAGCAGCCTTAGTCCAAACTGTCGCCCCAGTCCAAATAGCTGCGCAGCAAACAATAGTCCAAGACGAATTGGTCAATTCAATTGGAGAGGTCTTCACCGATTTTTTAGTTCACTTCACAACTCACAATTACCTTGAAGAAATCCGTCGTGTTGTTGTCAATGACCAAAAGACAACACTGTACATTGACTTCGAACACATCCAGAGCTTCCACGAGATATTGTCACAAGCGATCCAAACGCGCTTTTCACGATTTGAACCGGAGTTGGTGCGTGTCGCCACGACATTCGGCAATCAGTATTTCACACAAGTCAATAATCGACTACCGCTTGCTAACACAATTACTTCGATTGGCTTTTTCAATTTACCAACCAAATGCACAGTACGTCAGGTTCGAAGTGAAATGGTTGGGCACTTGGTGTCGTTCTATGGTACTGTCACACGATCATCTGAAGTCCGCCCCGAGTTGTTGATTGGTGTGTTCAAGTGTTTGGACTGTGGGTTAGAGAGTGAGCCAATTCCACAGCAGTTTAAATACACGCAGCCATTGAGATGTACTAACAACGGCTGCAACAACACCACACGATTTCAGTTAGTGATGGATAAGTCAGTCTTCACCGACTGGCAGAAAATCAAAGTGCAGGAGTGCTCAAACGAAATTCCAAGCGGGTGTCTTCCCCGTTCTCTCGACGTCATTTTACGAGGAGACTTGGTCGAATTTGTCAGACCGGGGCAGACGTGCACGTTCATTGGGATGCCCATCGCCGCACCAGACACAACCCGACTTGCTGTCGGACGGAATGTGACTGCTGTCCAAGAAAAAGTGAAGCCCAAGCCTGGTGAGTTAGAGCATGGTGTCAAAGGTTTAAAAGACTTAGGTGTCCGTGAATTGGTATATAAGCCCGCTTTCATCTGTGGTTGTATTCAACAAGAAGATAGTAAAAATCGCAACGAAAATCGAGAGAAGCCGTTAACGGCCAAAGAGATGGAGATCGTCACTGCCATCAATCAACGCCCCGACGTGTTCCAACTGTTCATCGAGTCTTTTGCGCCAAACATCTTTGGTCATGAGAACATTAAAAAGGGGATTTTGCTTCTTCTGTTTGGTGGGGTCCACAAGACGACAAAAGAGGGAATCACACTTCGAGGAGATATTAACATTTGTGTGATTGGCGATCCCTCCACGGCGAAGAGTCAGTTTTTAAAGTGCGTCTCTACCATTCACCCGCGATGTGTGTATACCTCCGGGAAGGCTAGTTCCGCTGCGGGATTAACTGCAGCAGTATTAAAAGACCCTGAAACGGGTGATTTTAATATAGAAGCCGGTGCGATGATGCTTGCTGATAATGGAGTGTGTTGCATTGATGAATTTGACAAAATGGACTACTTCAATCAAGTCGCACTGCATGAGGCTATGGAACAACAGACGATTTCAATTGCAAAGGGCGGTCTTCACGCAACACTGAACGCAAGAGCCGCGGTATTGGCTGCTGCGAATCCGATCAAGGGGAGGTACGATCGAAATAAGTCGGTCAAACAGAATTTGAACATTGGGGATGCCTTAATGTCGCGGTTTGATCTCTTTTTTGTAGTTCTAGATGAGCCTGATGAGAGCTCAGATCGGAAGATTGCAAATCATATTGTCAATGTCCATCGGTGTTTAAATGCGGCAATGAAAAGACCAATCTCATCAGAGGCTTTGAAGCTATATATAAAATACGCCAAAACGATTAATCCAAAAATGACAAAAGACGCAATGAATGAGTTGAGTAGAACATTCGCAGATTTGAGAAGTAAAGATATCGACGGAAAAAACGCAAATCCATACAGAATGACAGTGAGACAACTTGAGTCGATGATCAGATTGAGTGAGGCATTGGCGAGATTGTATCTTGATAAACTTGTCAGAATAGAATACGTCAAAGAGGCAACCAATCTCATAAAACAGTCGATTGTGTTTGTTGAAAGTAAAGATACTCAACAGGCACAAACCCAAACAGGGATGGACGAAGATGTGATTGAAAATGTACTCGAATGGAAGTGAGATTTTTGTATTGATTGGTTTTTTTTTTATTGATTACTGTATTATAAAATTACTACAATTATTATATAACAATAGTACATTTTATTATTTTAAACAAAATAGAGTTATTTTCTATAAATATATTAACACCTCTTTGAATTAAAAAAATAATAACAAAAGAATAACAAATAACGATACTAATCACTTCCCGATTATAAAGTAAAAAACTTTAATACAAGACACTTGAGGTTTTGTTGAAATGACGTGTCAATTTCTTTTCAATTTTTTTTGTTCAAAAAATGGCGTTCAAAACATTTTGTCACCACGTTTTCGATAATGATAGAAATCTATTCTTAATAGCAAAATAATTACAAATCAACTAGAAATGAACTGTCTACAAAATGCATACAAACAAGTGAAACAAAAATGAGTAATTGAGATTGAGAAGGGTTTAAAAGGGTTGAAGTCAACTGAGAAGGACAGAATGGCCACGGAACCAGTGATTGATTGCAGCGGAGCGTTAGCTGCCCGACTTGAATGTTTTAATGAACTTGAGAAGAAGTACAGAGAGGAGGAACTGAGTTTGTATACTATATTATAAATACCATATCAATACTATAAAAGTATAGTAAAAGGATTCAACTAAGAGATAGAGAAGTCCGTCCCCATCACTGTGACTTACAAAGAAATGAAATTTGAAGGAAAATCATTTGTCACCACCCCACAAGACTTCATTGGGAAATTAGTCGAAGCGGGAGAAGTGAAAAAGGAGAACCCCGTCTTCGTTGCAAAGGTTAACGGAAAGCTCTGGGACTTAACACGGCCATTTGAAGAGGACTCGACAGTCGAGTACGTTGGATTTGACTGCGAAGAAGGAAGAGACACATTTTGGCACTCGTCTGCCCATTTGTTGGGTGAAGCGATGGAGAACAAGTATAAGTGCTATCTCCACACGGGCCCAGCAACGGCCATCGACTTCTTCTATGACTGTAAAATGACTGGAGCGTCTGGAGAAGGTGACTTCAAACAGTTGACAAGCCTTATTGATTCTTATGTCAGAGAAAGACAGACGTTCAATCGCATTGAAATCACTAAGGAAGAAGCTTTAAAGATGTTCTCGTACAACCCATACAAAGTTCGAATCATCGAAAAACTCCCCGAAGGAGCTACTATCACCGCATACAAAAATGGAAATTTCGTCGACTTGTGCAGAGGACCACATCTTGCAAATGCGTCTGCTGTTAAAGCTATCAAATTGTTGAGTGCTGGCTCTGTTCATTTGGATGGAACAGCTACTGGCGACTTGTTGCAGAGATTGCACGCCGTCTCATTCCCAAATAAAGAACTCTTGAAAGAATATATCAAAAGAGCTGAAGAAGCAGAAAAGAGAGACCACAGACTTATTGGAAGACAACAAGAGTTGTTCTTCTTCCACACACTTTCCCCGGGAAGCTGCTTCTGGTTGCCACACGGAACACGAATTTATAACAAACTGATCGACATGATGAGATCCGAGTATCGAGTTCTTGGATATCAAGAAGTCATCGCACCAAATATCTTCCTCTCAGACTTGTGGAAGACTTCTGGACATTGGCAACACTACAAAGACGATATGTTCTCCTTTGAGTGCGAGAAACAAACATTTGCGTTGAAACCTATGAACTGCCCAGGCCATTGTTTGATGTTTGCGTCACGAAAGAGATCATACAGAGAACTTCCAATGAGACTTGCGGAGTTTGGTGTGTTGCATAGAAACGAGTTGACCGGTGCGTTGCATGGGCTTACACGAGTCAGAAGATTTGTTCAGGATGATTCGCACATCTTCTGCACATTCGACCAAATCGAACCGGAGGTCGACGGTGTTTTGGCGTTGATGAAGAAGATTTACGCTATTTTTGGATTTAAGACGGACATCGCGTTGTCCACTCGTAACGAGAAGAAGTTCATGGGAGAGGTTGAGACGTGGAACAAAGCCGAGGACATGTTAAAGAAGGTGTTGAACGACTGCGGGATGCCATATAAGATCAACGCTGGCGATGGAGCTTTCTATGGCCCAAAGATTGATATCCGAATTGAAGACGCTCTTGGAAGAATGCACCAAGTCGCCACAATTCAACTTGACTTCCAATTGCCATTGAGATTCGAGTTGGAGTACATGAGTGAAGATCCTAAACAACCATTGAAGAAACCAGTGATGATCCACAGAGCCATTTTGGGATCAATTGAAAGATTCACCGCTATCTTGACAGAACATTTGGCCGGGAAGTGGCCTTTCTGGTTGAGCCCAAGACAAATCATGGTCGCAACCGTCAGTGAAAAGTTCAACGAGTACGGAAAGAAGATTGTTGACAAGTTGAATGCCGAAGGGTTCTACGCCGACCTCGACGAAACGGACAACAAACTTCCAAAGAAAATCAGAAACGCTCAGATCGCACAATATAACTTCATATTGGTTGTCGGTGAAGAGGAAATGAAGACCGAGTCTGTCAATATTAGAACAAGAGAAAACGAAGTCAAAGGAAAGGCCTCGCTCGACGATTTCTTGGCTCAGATAAAGAAGTTGCAAGAAGAAAAGAAGTGAATTGAAGAAGTTCTTTATTATTTTATTATTCTCTGATTAATGTTGTTTTGAGTAATGTAACTCAAAACAAGTCAATTTTGGTATTATCAATAAATAATTAAGTTATGTCATGAAACTAACACCACTCAATGCTGGGACCTACATTGACCACCACCACCACCTTTACCAAAAAAAAATATTTGCCGCAAGTGTTTTTTGAAGGAAGTCCACTTTTCAGCCACTGTTTGTGCGTCCCCATGTCACCCACTTTCCTTGTCCGTACTGTGTGGACGCGGATGTGGTTCCCCCCCGCTTGCGGGGGGGTCAGGGGGGATCCGCGCCAAGGGAGGACTTGGAAAGTGGGTGAAACGGTGCACAAACAGACTGTTTGAGTGTGTCTTCAGAGCCTTCTTTTCAATGCTCCGTCTTTCTCGGTTTCCACTGACTTGAGGTGAATTTTCGGCATTTTTTGAATTCGGGAACCAGACCTAATATTATCCCAGTTTCCTATTTACTATAATTTTAATTTGAATATGATTCGAAATAGAAAAAATAAATCTATTTTAAGAGGTGGTGGTGGTCAATGTAGGTCCCACTCAATGCTACTTTATTACATCTTTTATTCATATCATTTATTAACTATTATTATTATTTATAATTTGATAAATTTATTAAATAAATTAAAAAATTTCTTTATTTTTTTAAATAAACTCTGTTTGAAAAAATAAAAATGCATTTGCCGGGACTCGAACCCGGATCTCCACCTTGGAAGGGTGGAATTCTGCCCTTAGACCACAAATGCTTCTTGAAAGAATTTTTTTTTATTAAATAGTAATGTAAAAAATTACAAAATGAAAGGGTTATTGAGCAAAACAAATAAAGCTTCATTGTTTAGGTAATTCAATTGAAAATTCCTTTTAAAACGAAATTAGATTCAAGCTTATGTGAAAGTTCGAGGGATTAAAAAACTTATATAATATATTTATCAATAAATATATTATAAGGAAATCAAATTATTATAATAATAAAATAATTCTCAACCAAAAATACAACAAAAACATCAAAACTTTTTTGTTGTTTTCTTAACCAATTTCTATCTATATATTTTCATTGAAATAATAAAAGGCGTTGTCCATTTACTATTCAAAACTCAAACGTTATATTTTGTTTTTACAAAAGTGTTTTTATTATTACAGATTTTAACAAAAAATATTATAAATTCTAATTTGAATACAATTTTTAGAAACAAATGGTAATGAAAAAGAGAGTAAAAAGGAAATTTCTTTTTATAAAACCGTTAATAAAACAATGATAGTTATTAATAAAAAACTATAGTATTTATTGTTTTTTATAAATTGAGAATAGTACCTATATTTATTTGTTTTTGTATAATTTGGATAAAACATCAAACTGCTACCTTTTTCTAAAATTGACAAATTTTATGAATAAAATTTAAAACATCCCTTTTTAATAGAACCTTGACTTTTTCAGTCTGATTGCTTTTTCTCAAAAAACACAATAAAAATGATGTTTTAACTTTGTATTTCACATGTTCTATTTGTTCTATATTCTCATTGTTGCAAGTGCATTTGATTTTGATAGTTGGGTGATTAAATTCAACAAACGTTTCTCGGCTGTCGAGTCACTCAGACGTCGTGCCATATTTGTTCAAAATGCCAGATTTGTTGATGAATTCAACAAACACAACACTTTTAAACTTGGGGTTGATGGTCCTTTCGCTGCACATACACACCAAGAATATCTCTCGACTTTGTCTCACAAACCCAATACCCAAGAAAGTTATGTTGAGCCACATACAAAAGAGGCACTTAAATCTTTCCCAGAATCACTCGACTTAAGACAACAAGGTAAAGTTACAAAAGTTAAAGACCAAAATCCATGTGGAAGTTGTTATTCATTTGGTGCTCTGGCTTCATTAGAAGGAAGACTTCTTTTCGTAGGCGGCAATGTGGACACACTTGATTTGTCTGAAGAACAAATTGTAAGGTGTTCTCCCAATAATGGTTGTAATGGAGGAACGGGATCTGTTGTTTATGACTACATCAAGGGAAATGGAATATTACAAGAGAAGGACTATCCATACACCGCTTCAGATGGAAAATGTGAAGCTGATCTTACTTATATTTTTGCCACCGTTGAAGGATACAAATATATAACCAGAAAGGATAATGACGCACTGAAAAGTGCACTTGTTGATGGAGTTGTCGATGTTTCGATTGATGCCTCTTCTCCAAAGTTTTCATTGTACAAAAGTGGAGTGTATCATGACACAAAGTGCAAAACTTCTCTTTTAAGTTTGAACCATGAAATAGCAGCCGTAGGATATGGAAAGTTAAATGGTGAAGAATATTGGATAGTGAAGAACTCTTGGGGAACAAATTGGGGAGAAAATGGCTACATCTTGATGGCGATGGAAGGAAACACGTGTGGTGTCACTTCAGAACCCATTATCCCAACTGGAGTCAAATACCTCTGATCTAAACATTTTATGTTTTCGTTTTTGTTGTTGTTTTACTTAGCAACTGATAATAACACAAATTATTTTATGGTTTAATATTTTCATTACAATTGTTCGGTGATTTGAAACAAGAAGAGCAAAAGGATTTTAGGTTTATATTTCCAAACCAAAATATGTGTTTCTTTGCTCAAATAAACAACTTTTGTGTGTTTAAAGATATCATGTTGTTTACAATATAAAAATAAAAAAAACACGTTTTTTTTTCAAACACAACTAAAATTAATAACCAACCGTTTTTCTCAAAACATTGATCATTGACAAAAGATAGTG